CCTGTCTCTTGTCTCTCTCCGTACCCTAAGTCTTTCTTTGTAGATCCCACCAGTGTAGCTCCCTAGATTTTAGCTTCCTGAACTATGTGTGTGATCCTGTCACTCCCTGTTTGAAAGGTGGATGGCTCGCCTCTGCCCACAGGTAAACACTCTTTCCTTAGCAAGACATTCGTGGTCCTGAAGGATCATTCACATCTGGCCTCATCTACCTCTTCAGTCACGGCTCTGGGCACAACTGAAACATCCTGTGGATTTTCAAAGCCCATGCCTTTGCTTATGCCTCTTACCAAGAATTTATGCACCCCAATCCCCCGACTCATCTGTCCAAATTCTATTTGTCTTTCCAGGCCCAGTTCGATATTACTATTTTCGTGAAATTTTTCCTGATCCTTTTGAGCAAAATAAATGGTTCCCTCCTCTATGCTTAGATAAAAATTGTTCAAATTACTAGTTTAGCATCTATTTTTACTCTTCTTTAAAAAAAAGATTTATTTATATATTTGAGAGAGAGAGAGAGCATGAATGGGGGGAGGGGCAGATTGAGAGAATCTTCAAGCAGACCCCCCGCTGCGTGCAAAGCCTGACATGGGGCTCGATCTCACAACCCATGAGATCACGACTTGAGCAGAAACCAAGACTCCGTCACTCAACCAACTGAGCCACCCAGGCGCCCCTGTTTTTACTCTTTTTTTAATGTGTTGGTGTCAGCTGCCACATTTTTAGCATATCAAAGGCAAGGTCTGTCTTACCATCCTGGTACACAGTGCCTTAAAAAAGGCTGGTGCACTTTATGCAGCAGATAGACTTTAGCTGTTGAACTGATTGAACTTTTTATATAGTCATTTTGTTGTTGTTCTTTGGGCCAAACCTTAAACTTGATTTTTGTTTACATATTCTTTAGCTTTTCCTTGTTTCTTGACCTCATTGGTAGTGGTGGGACCAACTCTGGTGTAATTATACAGTGACCACAGTCTGACCACAGAGAGGATTTGTCACCAGCTCCTTGGTGCCCAGCTCTGCTCCGTCCTGACTGGCTGACCACAGCCTGCTGCTAATTATGCCAAGAATCACGTTCAGTTTCTGACCTATCAGTCTCTCCCTATTTCTGTACCCCAACTGGTCACCTGACAAGAGTGTTCTGATGAATGGTCCCAAGGATGAGAAAGTAAAGGCTATGGGTAAAGCCATGTCCATCCAACAGCAACACTGGCCCAGAAGGCAAATCCGTTAGCTGTGATTTTTCAGATCACTTCTATAGATGCCTTCACAGGTTTATTTTCTAGAATCCCAGGCCCTGAAACTATTTAAAAGGACACAGAAATTAAACAGATGCAGCTAAACAACCACTGCTCTTACACAGACATTGAAGGCTTTATCCAAACAAGGACACGGATCCAAATAAGTGACTCCTAAAGATCTCAGGAGTGTGTCCATGCCCAACTAAGGCATGGGAAGGGAAGGGGTGGGTATGGTGCAGTACAGCCAAATGGATTGTCCTGGATTCTACTTTGTGATTTAAATGCTCCTTTTTGCAATTACATATTTGTAAGTTTGGGTTTCATTAACATCTCTTAAAATCTGTAAGAAAATTTAAAAAAATGTAAACTCGGATGCATCTCTTTTCCCCTTCGATAAGAGGTGGACTGAAGCCACCAGAGGCCGATGCATCCAGAGCTGAGGATATCACACCTGTTTTCTCTCAGCGAGCCATCTCTGATTCTTTCATCCTCTTCTTTTTAAAAAATATTTTATTTATGTATTTGACAGAGAGAGACACAGCGAGAGAGGGAACACAAGCAGGGGGATTGGGAAAGAGAGAAGCAGGCTTCCCGCAGAGCAGGGAGCCCAATGTGGGGCTCGATCCCAGGATCCTGGGATCATGACCTGAGCTGAAGGCAGACGCTTAACCGACTGAGCCACCCAGGAGCCCCTCTTTCAAAGAAAAAGCAAAAAACCATAAAAATATGAAAATTTAGCAGGATCATAGAGAACTTTCCTTTTTCTCCTCTCTGAGAGAGTAAATTGTATGGAGAAGAAAAAGAGAATAGAATTCATTCTGAGATCAAAAAAAGAGATATTTTTAAGGAAAGAAAACCCAGGATAACAAATTATTTCTTGAGCTGTTAAAGTCTTAAGGCATTTGCCTTCATTTTATGCAAGCAATGTTCAATGGCTAGTGCACTATTAAAAGAAGCAATGTAGAAAAAAAATAAGGTTAGGTTTAGGTTTTTAAAACACATTTAAACCCTATTTCTCTTCTTATCTGAGATCCACCCGATTTCAACATCAGGGGTTTTGTGAACCTTCCGACAGTCCATTTTTGCTTGTCTCCATCATCGTAAGCAACTCACAATTCAATTTAGTAACATTAAATGGTAGAACCTAAACTATTTTAACAAGGATTTCTCTTAATTGGTTTTAATTCATTAACATCAGTGGATAATTCTTTTTTCCAGTGAATGCATGCTGTCTTCTACCATGGCAAGTCAGTGGGAAACTCAGGCTCACTCACAGACAGCCCTCTTACAGCGCAATTAACGCAGCTACTGACTCCAGGCAGAGCCCTGGGGACGCGTCCACCTGCATCGGGAAGGAGGCCAGGCTTTCTCTGGAATGCTTCAGTGAAAGGTTACCAGGGGAACATAGCAGGGAATTATTGTAACACAACCAAGGACCTTAATGGATATCTAATTAAGCCTGGCAAGGCGCATACACGTAAGGGGGAGGCTTCTATCTTTCTACCATACCGTGGAAATTTTGAATTTTCACAGCCTCGTTCTTTCAAGACTCAAAGCACACAGATAACATTATTAAGATTACTGAACGTGGCTATTGTATTCAGTCACTTCAAAATCTATTTGATATACAGTTTATTGTTTACCAAGGCTATGAATGTAAGTGGATTTCTTAAAAAAAAAAAAAAAAAGAATAAAAGATCTGAATCAGGCTTACTCACACAAGATCTGAGTAATTTCTGGCAAGGCACTTCTTTCTCTTGGTCTTCTTCTTCATTCCTGTTTGTACTCAAGTCTGTCAAAGTTTAAGACCACCCCTGGCCAGGGGGACTCCACAGGAAAACAGTGCCCTGTGGCTGGGACTCCCAGCTCTTGAAAAAGCTAACAGATCAACAATGGCCAAGGGCCAAAGATGGAGGAGGATCTTCAGGACTGCCTCAGGGGGGAAGGCCTATCCCAGTGGATTTAAGCACTGCTCTCCCAACACACCTTCCTCACGCAGAGAGCTGGGAGAGACAAAGGAGAACAAAAGTACTCCACTATGCCCCAGGGGGAAGAGATGTGTGCGGTGTGGTGAAGACAGGATGGATTCACACAACTGGGTAGAGCATGTAGGCTGACAGGAAGACTTGCTCAGAGGGATCCTGGTGGGGAGACTGCGGGTTCAGGGCCAGTTAGAGGGCATCACTAAGCCGGAACTCTGAATGGACGGTGTGGTGTCATGTCAGCAAAGAGGACACTGTGTCTACAAGGAGTAGGGCTAAATCAGATGAGAACGGAGAGCTCGGCTGATCCGAGTTCTTACAGGCTGTCTGCAGAACAGGAGGAATATTTCTGAACCCTGAGCATGTGGTGTGGCCACAGAGAGGATCTGTGACAATCCACAGTTTGGGTCCTGTCTGATCCAGCCCCAATCCCATCATTAAAAGCGAAGATGAGGGTTTGTACCAGGGATGGGTCTTGTGAAGAAGGGTTAGTAGAATTCAGTGTGTGGCTTTCTACTTGTGGAAAAGACTAGACATGAATTTTCAAGCCAAGATCTTCTGAGATCTTCTTTTCTGTTTGGTGTTTCAAAGCTCATTTTATATCTTTTTTTTTTAACCCATGCTGCACTTCGCCATGTTTAACATTGCAAATTTCACACATGTATAAAGTCATGCAGATGAATGATTTTACCTTTGCCTGCACCTACATCAGGTGGAGGAATACCAGCTTTAATGAAGGGAAACAGAAATAGGACACTATATAGTTAGATGTAACACACCCATGAGCATGTAAAGCGATATAAAAACACTTATTAATAATGCCAAAGCATGCAAGAAGAATGAAGTGTCCCACCTCAGGTACAGGGGACAGAGATATGTTGGTGTCCCCAAGCTTACCCAGCAATCAAATACACACTTTCCTTAAGGTGCATTATCATATTTCCCTCTTATGGAACAAGCCTTAGAGTATTTCAAACCAATTTTTGGGTAGAAATGTCAATTCCTCATGCTAGGGAAGATAATCAAATAAATAACCCTCAAGAAATTCTATGATTTAGTGACATGCAAAATCAGAAAATCTTTTATAAAATTTTTGGACATTTTCATCGAATCGAAATTTTTTCAAAATAATAAGTCAGGAAGGAAGTATTAATTCCTTTTCTTGATACTCTAATGGGACTATTTTGCTTTCTCTGTACCAGACGGCATACCAAAATACAAAGTCCCGTGCTCAAACACAAAACAAAGGCACTATTTCATTACTGTTTCATATTCCTTGCTAGAAATCCTCAACCAGTATGTGGCCTAGCAAACTATCTTCTGGTGTCTCAAGACCAGAACTAGAATTACATCTATTTATTTGCACATGGATATGTGTGGCGGTGTGCACATACATGTGTGTATTACATGTATGTGTATGTACGTGTGTGTATGTGTGTACATGTGTGTATGTATACATGTTAAGTTGTAGACAGGAAAACACATTGCCTTGAACTTTGAGTTCCTGTGTGGCAAAATGCTGTAACTTCCCACTCTCACCTCAACATTTTAATGTCAGTTTAAAAATTTCACACAGACTCGGAAAACAAATATCCAATAGTTATTCTAACATGAATTAAATAATTGACTTTATAGATGTCAGGATGGGAAATTACAAACAAGTGTTCGCATTAGTTGGGTAAGATGGATCCTCCATGGGAAGAAGGAAAGAGAAGGCATACGCTCAGGTTAAAGACTTTGGTCTCGCGACACTTAAAAGTTCCGTGAATTTTATACATACCCATCTTACCTTCATCCACAGTTGTCACTGCCTCCTCTGTTATTTGACTTCCGGATCCTGCTGCTGTTTGTGCATAGAAATAAAACTTATACCGTGTGCTGTAATTTAAATTTTTTAAAGTCCAGCGTGTCTTGTTGGCAGGAATTTTCAGATCCACCAGTGGGCCTAATTCGTGGGTGCTGTTAACTGGCAATAAGAAATAACAGAGAAGCGCATTCCCCATTAATTGCTATAGGAATACTATTACAAATAAATGTGTCAAGCAAAAATGTCAAACTTGGATTACATTCCCTGTGTAATCCTCTTCACGCCTTGCCCGACATAACTGTCATTAGCTTTTTACAGCTTCTACACGATCGCAAAACGGGGGGAAATATAGTCCCCACCCACTTATAAGTGAGGGGAATTTTACGGCTGAATTCCAATAGCATTTCTTTTCTCTGTGTTTTTGCAGGTGGTGTCATTCATGTACTGATAACCCCAAACCTTGTCTTCAGAGACCTTGTGCCAAAGAAACCCCTCTTTTTCTGTTTCTTTTTTCTTCTTCTTCTTTTTTTTTTTTTTTTTACAATTTTCTAGTTACAGATAACTAATGCCTACCTAATCTAACAATAGCATCCACCCCATGGTCAAAGGTCTGTAGGATTCTACAGACTGCTTCATTTTCAACAGCATATATGTCTTTAGAAGTCTGATATGAAGTTCCTTCTAGAACACCACTTGAAGGTATATGCATATATTCTACAGCGCTAAAGAAATAACCAGTTTGTGGGTGCCTGGGTGGCTCAGTCGTTAAGCGTCTGCCTTCGGCTCAGGTCATGATCCCGGGGTCCTGGGGTCGAGCCCCGCATCAGGCTCCCTGCTCAGCGGGAAGCCTGCTTCTCCCTCGCCCCTCCCCCTGCTTGTGTTCCCTCTCTCTCTGTCTGTCTCTCTGTTAAAAAATAAATAAAATCTTTAAAAAAAAGAAAGAACCAGTTTGTATTTTAAGGAAACAGCTAAGTTTTTTTCCTTTTGAAACCATATTCCCCCCTTTTCTTCTCCCAATAACTTACTTGGCTGATACTTTAAGGTGTATTCAGTCAAAATGCCATTCGGGCGGCTCGGTGGGTCCCATTCCAGAGTGAGGGAGTCTAGTGTTGGGTTAACAATCTTCAAAGAGGATGGAGCACTGGGGACTTGGAGTGAGAACAGAGAGTCAACGAAAGGGTTTTTGGATGTTTCAGTATGTATTCAGGTGACATGCTACACCATGTTCACACCATTCACCAAGGTTTTCTGTAACTCACTCTTGCTCCTGATTCAGCCAAAAATACACTACCAGAAACCCGTGATGAGAAACCATCCAGCTATTCTTGTCCTCTTTTTTCTCATCATTTCCATTTAGACTCATTAAAGCCATCCTCCAAAATACATAAAGACTTTGCCTTTAGATGAATCCAAACCAATATTTTTAAAGGAGACGGTACTTGTTTTGTGAATGGTGTCTTAATAAAAGCAAACTGGTGAAACTATTCTAACCAGACCTTTGGGTAGATGCAGCTGTGTTCTGGGCTATTAAGAACTGTTTTCTCCAACAAATCAGGTGTCTCCAAACAGCCAGAACACGCTGCCTGCTGGGCTCTGGGCATGAGCCAGCCTGCCCAGGTGCAGAGTGGTTCTTATCTGGAGAGCTGACAGATGCCCAGAATCTCGTGGTGATGGACAAAAGCTGTGGTGCTGGCAGATCCCCCCCCCCCCCTGCCCCCGCAACTCTGGGGACGACCCGCAGGGTGTCAGGTCCTCTGTGGCTGAGGCTGGCCATATGTGACCAGAGGACACATGCCCGGTCTTCTTTTATTCACTTCCTCATGAGGATGATGGATGGAGGCAGCTCTTCCTCATGGTCGCTAGCTCTTCTACACACCCACCATATTTCCTAGGCCCATTAATAGCACCCCTGTCTCTCCCGTCACTCTAGCCAGAAACCAAGGAGTCAACCCGAATTTCTCCCTCTGCTTCATTTCCTCCATCTCCTGGGACACTACATCCTGTCAATTTCACCTCGTACATCTCAACCATATCCATTCCCTACTCTCCTCTCTACCACTGCCCCACTTGAGGCCCTCAGTGGCCTGTGCCTGAGTCCTGGCACATAGTTCTCAGCTTCCCTAAGCCACTCCTCTCAGAATCTGATGATAGCCAAAAACCCTCCCCAGAGAAGTAAACACATATTGCATATAAAGTTTGGGGGTTCATGGGGCGCCTGGGTGGCTCAGTCATTAAAGGTCTGCCTTCAGCTCAGGTCATGATACCAGGGTCCTGGGACCAAGCCCCACATCGGGCTCCCTGCTCCGCGGGAAGCCTGCTTCTCCCTCTTCCACTCCCCCTGCTTGTGTTCCCTCTCTTGCTGTCTCTCTCTCTGTCAAAAAATAAATAAAATCTTTAAAAAATAAAAAAAATAAAGTTAGGGGGTTCATGGAGCTCTCTAAACCCATTCACTGACCCCTTAGGAGACTATAGTCTTCAGGTTAAGAGCCTCTGGCTTATAGGTTAATACCCATAGCATATAAGACCATCCATGGTATGGGTCCACCCTTGCTCACCTTCCTCTCTTTCCTCACCATTCCTGGCTGCATGACTTATAGTTCCTTGAGGGAGCCATATTGTTTCATACCATCATGTCTGTGGACATATTACTTCCTCTCTTCTTTATCCTTTAATTCGCTGGTCATCTCTACCATGACACCTTCCCTGAACCATCTCAAGGAGCAGTGAGGTTTCACTAGTGAAAGCCTCAAGAGGAAGAAGCCTTTAACCTCTGAAGGAGCAACAGACCGAGGACAAGCAATTGCCCTAGGATGGGAGTGGGACACAGGATGACCCTCGGAGGATGTTGGGCAGGTGCCAACATCATGAGCCCTTCAAAGGAGCCAGGACCCAGTTTGTCTGTGAACTACTTGTATCAAAAAGACCTAAGGAATCCACAGAAGTTATTTGGCTCATTTTTAATACGGGCTTGAAGCAAAATTCAAATGGGTGAATCCTTATCTTTCTTACTCTACTGTCCCTCTCTCCCTCATCTGCTAGGCTCTGTGTCCCTGTGTCCAAATGCCTCGTGCTCCACACCTGCATCGATGGATATTTGATCCTCCTTCCCCCTCCCCTTGCAATGGCCCCTTTTTGCAATGCTTTTCCTTTTCTTCCCAACCCATTTTGTCAAGACTTCCAACCTTCTACCTCATCTCAACTTCAGCAGAAACGATGAAGGTGCACCGGGAGAGAAGTCAACTACGACTGACAGGATTATTTTTCTTCCCAGGTGCTTTTCTTAGGCTATCACATCAGTGCTCATGCTTTTGAGATGAAGGAACGGAGGCTTAGAGAAGTTACAGAACTCCCTGCAGGTGAGAAAGTTAATGACCCAAATAAACATCAAATTAGCAAGGTTTCTGACAGCGTGACTAAGTGGGGAGAAAAACTTAAGTCAGGAGAGGACGGCTTGGGGCAGCATTTTGCGTTGTGAAGCCTCCCAAGTACCCTCGGGCCACATGTGAGCTGACAGGATGCCAGCTTTGTGGGGCCCCTTCTGTAATGCAAAGCATCTCAGGATGCGCCATATGTTCTAGGATCTCAGTCACGTCCACCCCCTACCTCCTTCTGGAGTATTAAAGACTCTGTCGGGGCTGGCCGGGCCCTCCCCTTTCCCGTTGACCACGCGGACGTTCAGCGTGTAGTGGCTGAAGGGCTCCAGCCCAGGCAGCATGCCGTGAGTCTTGCTGCCCTGGAAAGTGAGGATCTTCTTCTCAAGGTGGCGTCTGTTTCTCTTAGACGAACTCTGCGCCTTCCAGTAGTAAATCTGAAAGAGCACGGGCAAAAGTCAGGGACAGGTAAGGGAGCAAACAAGCTTCCTCCTGCTCACGAGATTCAAGTCTTACGGCTGTATCCTAGATAACGTCCTTGGTGCATTTTAGAAGAAGACTCCTGGCAAAACTGAGAGATACTGATTATGAGGCAAGACAGAAGAAACCCAAACATAATGAGGGAAATGGACCTGAGAATATGTGATGCAGCTGGGCTATAGACTACTGGGTTGGAGGAGCGTGAGTGAAATAAATGGAACAGCATGACACCCATGCAGATCTCTCTAGAACATACGGGAATGGAAGATGATGGAACGATTGAAGCGTCTTACTTATATAAAATATTCTAAGAACAAAAATTACTGGCCAGTATTTACATACTCCTCCAGAGCTAATACAACGTCATGCACAATATATCATTTAGTTTAATCCTAAAAGCCACGGTGAAGCTTTTATTATTATTATTCCGTTAGCACAGATGAACCCCGGACCTCTGAGTGGCTTGCCCCCAGCCACTGGGCAATCAAAAACCACAGTGGATCCTCCACGCCAAGTCTAGGGCTTTCTCACTAAGCCAAACTGCATCACTTCGTTAATAAATACTTTTATTTTTGGTATTAAATGGCAGGCACAGGTTTTGGAAAGATGGGTAAGCGAAGGGTTGATTACCTTTGGCTAAAAATCCAGAATTGCTGTTTAATAAGTGCTCTTAAATTCTCCTTAGAAGTTTAAAGAGAAGTCAACATATATACAGAATCTGGCAATGTTAGAGAAAAAACCCCAACACGGAATATGATGCAGTACCAAAAGTGATCTCTAGGGGTCAGTTTTAACGACCCAGAGCCGTGACTTTCTTCGTGGGTGCAAAACCAGTTCCTGGCACATCCATCACAAATCTCTACGCATCAGTCTTTCCATGCTTCCCAAGAACAAAGATAAATGATGGTCATAAGAATGACCCTGTTGGGACTCTACAGTTTGAAGTATAATCTGAATGATTTTTTAAAAAATGCCTACATTATTTTCAGGACAATTTTGTGCGTTTAACGCATGTGGTCAGTATTGCTTTAAAGCTAGGTGCATTTGGTTGTATTTTTGTTTCTTAAACACTAGTTTTCCCCATTTTGTGCCTCTGTTAATTGTTGAGTTGGAAGAATTTTAGGCCATCTGTGGGAAAAATGGAGAAAAAGTTTCTTACCCCCTCCCCCCCTGCCCCCACTTTGGTTGCAGTGAGGTTTTGCTTCTGCTCTAGCTGGGGTTCTTGAGACATGGCCTGTCTGAGGTGATAAACCAGATGAACTCTCAAGGCCTCCAACCAAGAGAAGTGCTTGTGGCATTCGCTGAGGGCCTGTTCCTACGGAAAAAACGCAAAAAAATCTCCCTTCACTTGCCCGATAGCCTTGCAGGTGTCCTCGGATACTTTTCAGAGGTACGGGGTCCCAGTGCACCTCAGCTAAGGTACTGTTCACCACGTTCACGTGCACATTTCCGGGAGCCACCATTGGGACTAGGGAAAAACAGGAAAGGGGGCAGAAGTAAAAATGTTATTTTGCAATTTCATGCAAAAATGCCACTAACAATTTTGGCTTGAAGTATGACCCAGCTTTATTCTATGGATTATCAAGGATTGAGAGTAGATTTTTTTTTTTTTTTGGTATCTGTTCATCTGACTTGGTGAGAATAATGTATCTTTTTAAAAGTAACGACACTTGACATTCTGAATCTATTTTTTACATAGCAGGCTGTTTGCATTCAGGAATGTTCAGTAAAATTTCTGTCACCTCCGTCCCTCCCAGTCTACGCACCCCCTGGACATGGCCTTGGTTTGCACCTTGGTAAGTCTGTGTTGCTGGTATAAAGGAAAGTATCACTGAAATAGCATCGAACACTTACGGTCTTCTCCAGAATGCCCCATGACCACGGCTGGCTCTGGAGCAAACCCCACGTCATTCAGGGCCTGCACTTTTATCAGGTAGGGAACGAAGGTCGGTGTGCCCGAGACAATATATTTGGATACATTTGCCACCACCACAGACGTCCATTCATCGTCGCCATCTTTCTGGCGCCAGCTCACTTTGTACTGAAGGCCTGGCCCGTTAGATTCGAAACCATTCAAGGGCTGTAAGAAAAGCCAAATAATCAGAGCTTATAAAACAGACAGATTGAGCAACCTTTTCCCCGGAACACCAAATTCAATTCCCAGACTTAAGGAAAGTGAGCACTGAAATGTTAAAATGCGAGCTATTAACAATGTCTTCCAGGGACCTTTTTTTTTTTTTTTTTATTCGTGCTGAGATTCAAAGCTTGTTTGGGATCAACATTTCAAAGGTTGTTAATTTCTATCTTGAAGTTGTACATACTACATAAGCCTCTCAAACTGGCTCCACAGTCAAGGGTGGGTGACTTAGAGCATTTCAGTTACATAGTTTCCTTTATATATCCCTGTCTGTGTGACAGTACATCATTCTCTATTTTACTTAGAGCCAGAAGCTTGTGAATTGCTTCTTTCTTTATTTAAAAAAAAAAAAAAAAGTTGGCTTGTTGGGGCGCCTGGCTGGCTCTGTCGGAGGATCGTGCGACTCTTGATCTCAGGGTTGTGGGTTTGAGCCCCACAGTGGGTGTAGAGAGTACTTAAAATAAAATCTTAAAAAAAATTGGCTTGTCAGTCTATCCTGTTTTACACGTTGGTATGTATATAAATATGTATGAGTATGTATGCATATAAGTGTGCATGAATAGGTCTATTAAAATAAGTTTTAAAATCACCCAAGTGAATATGTTAATTTTCCAAATCCAGAAAATATGGATAAACCAGAAAAAAGAGAGAGAAAAGCAGAGGCAGAAGAAGCTGACTACTTGGAATAACTTGGTACATATCTTCTAGATGGTTCTCTATGATGAAGACAATACCAGCTAGCATTTGTTGAGCACATATATGTGCTAGGCACTGTTCTAGGGTCTATATGTATTTATTCCTTTAATTGTGTGAGGTTGGTTCTATGACTTGTCCCATCATACAGATACATAATGGTGATGTTAAGCAACTGGCTTAAAGTCACACCGTGAGTGGCAAAGCTGGGATTTGCATCCATTCATTTGGGCTCCAAGGATTAAGCTTTTAACTGCTACACAATATCTCTTAAAGAAAGAGATGTAATATATATTTTTTCCCAAAATGGATGAAATGGGATTTTAATACATTGTTTATAGAGAGAGAAAGAGAGAGCACGCAAGTGGGAGGGGGGAGGACAGAGGGAGAGAGAGAATCGCAAGCAGCCCCTCGACACAGGGTTCAATCTCACGACCCTGAAACCATGATTAGAGCCGAAATTGAGTCAGAAGCTTATTAACCAGCTGAGCCACCCAGACGCCCCAATACAGACATTGTTTAAAAACACCTTTTTTTTTTTTCCCCCCACTCTAAGATACACTGAGAAAAGCTGAAGGCTTCATGCTGAGCTCACCTTCCAGGTAATCACCAAATTATCAGGCTCTGATCCCAGTCCTTCCACAGCTGTGGGATTTGTATCAGGTTCTGGAAGTTAAGCAGCCACATATGTGTAAGTTTGGGTCTTTTTTTTTTTAAAACAGTGGAAAACTTTTCTACTTCATTTCCTGTCACAGAAGCCTCACTTTACCTGCGGCTTTAGTCAAATACTGTTCAGATGCCTCACTGGGCAAGCTCCTCCCGAGGCTGTTCACGGCCATCACTCTGAAGGAGTAGTTCACGTAAGGCGACAGCTTCAGCTGGGCTGTGGTCTGCATTCCAGAAACCTCGGTTTGGAGGTGCCACAGCCCTGCCTCGTGCATTGCATCTTCATATTCAATGATGAATTCTGGCCACGACACACACACACAGAACCCAAGACAGTGAGGTCAGCCACCCGAGGGTACGTTCGAGGATAACGAACAGAACAATCTAACAAGAGTAGCTGAACATTGGCTATTTCACTTTCAAGAAAAATTCTGTAAGAACATTTTGATTTAAGAGTTCTATCAGTATCCTCAATATTTAAGCATACCCAATAATATTTAGTATTTTTTCTCTAGCATGCTGAGTTGAGTTACTTAAATCTGTTTAGAAGTGGTCTCCATATCCTTAGGAAAGTTTCAATATATGAAAAGATGCTTAGGGTTTCTTTTTTTTTTTTTCTCCATAACAGGAGAAATTAAAGATCAGGAGATACTACTTTCCGCTAAACAGACTGGCAGCAATCAAAAGTTCAACATACTTTATTGACTATTACACAGGGAAACAAGCATTCTCCTACGTTCTTCCTGGGAAGTGTAAATTGGCACAACTTCTATAGAGGACAATTTAGAACATCTCACAATATTCAGCTCAAATATCCTTTGACTGAGAAAAGATACTCCTACCAATTTATTTGGAATAAATGTGCTCATGCATATGCTCAGAGGCACATGAAAAGGAATCCACATTACAGCACTGTTTGCAGCTGAAACAAGCTAATTGCAAACAACCTAAATGTTCAGCACCAGGACACTGATCAAATAAATTATGGTGTATCTGACACAGTGGAATATTCTGCAGCTGTAAAAACTAAAGGGGGCTACTCCATATGCCACCAAAATGGAATGATTTCTGAACTGCATTGTTAAGTGTAACCAAGTAGGGTACAGAACAGTGTGGAACACTTGGGTAAGAGCACAAAGATGGACTGTAACGTACACACATACCTATATGCTTGAATATACATGTATTGCCTCCTGGAGAATACACACTGACAACACTGGGGTCTTGGAGAAAGTGGGAGTTAGAGATAGGAGGAAGACTTACTTTTCAGTGCATACCCTTTTGCATCTACTAAAAATTTGTGGCATGTATATGGTTTACTCCCATAAAAAAATAGGTATTTAGATACTTACTAATTGCCTATAATGTGCCCATGTACCGTGATGTGAATTACAGATACAAAGGCGAAGTATCAATGCTCTGTGTTGCAGTGCTCCGAAGCTAAGTAGCTCAAGTTCGCCTTTCAAACTCCATTCACTGGCTGGTGATCTCCAGTCCCATAAACTGGTGACTTGCACATTTCTCTCGGCAGCCCGTGCCTCTCCCTTGAACTGCACACTTGGACAGCTCATTGACTCAACAACTCCATCTGCTTCTCTCTAACAGCATGACACACTGGTTACTGCCAGAAGTGATCCTGATCTTCCTCCCCGGCTGGCAGTGACAACTCAGCTCAAAACCTTGAAGCCCGTCTTAGATCCCCTCTTTGTTTCCTACTCTCCATAGTTTTGTTGGCTGTACCTTTAAAACATGCAAAATCTGACCACCGTTCAGCACCTCCATCCCTCTCGGCCCTAACCCAAGCCACGGTTCTCTCTCTCTCGTGTGAATCACTGCAAAACCTCCCAACTCATGAGTTCCCAGATTTTCTCAGCTCATGGTGCACACAGTATCTCCGTAATTTTCTTCATGGTTCCTTTAGGCCAAAAGAAATATCTAACACTTCCACGTAAGTAGTTAGGTCCATACAACTTAATAAATTTTCATGTCTTCACAACTTAAAACCTATTCGGCACTGCACAGCTTCTCGAACCTTGTTAAGACACCACCTTTCTCATTCCCTGTTACACACTGATTTTCATGCGGTACTTGCTTTTTACCACAGCAAAGGCTTTGCAGGCACGGCATCATCACAATATGGTACCGCAATATCGTGTGGGAACCATAAGCTGTCTTGAGCTCGTACTTTATGTGGCGTCTGACAGATGTGACTGTTTTTTAAACATCAAAATTGAAAAGTCAAAAACTTAAAACATATCCCGAGGCACCCTTGTGAGTTTGCTGAGGTTCTACAGGGTACTTCACAGAGAACTGTGGTCCTACCTGGTTTCCCTGCTTCCCCTCTTGTTCTTCTATAGACCATTTTCACTTTATTTTTTTTTAAAGATTTATTTATTTGAACGAGAGAGAGAGCACGCATGAACGGGAGGGGCAGAGGGAAAAAGAATCTCAAGCAGACTCTGCACTCAGCTTGGAGCCCGAAACGGGGCTCAATCTCACCACCCTGAGATCATGACCTGAGCTGAAACCAAGAGTCTGACACTCAACCGACTGCACCACCCAGGCTCCCCTAGACCATTTTCAATAGAATAGCCAGAGTGATCCATTAATCACTCCTCTATTTAATTCCCTCCAATGACTTCCAACACTTACAATGGCCTACAAGGCCTGCCCAGTTCACACTCTACCCCTTAGTTGCTGCAGGAGCTCAGGAAGAGCGTGGCCTCATGTGCACACACTGCAGCAGATCCTTGGGGAAGGGGCAGCAGAAGGAGCCTGCTGTCAACACTCCTTGTGGCGGGTTCTCTTCTGAAGGGAGATCTAAGTAGTGTGTGTGTGTGTGTGTGTTCTACATATATATGCATATACAATGTGTATTGCATTTTACATATATATATACATATATAACAATATTATATGTAACAGAATAATATATTATTATTAACATTATTTTATTTGTGTCCTCAGCTAAAATATAAGCTCTATGTAGGCAGAGATTTTTGACTGTTTTGTTTTAGAACAATGCCTGGTACATTATAGGCACTCCATAAATATCTGTTGAATGAATGAGTGAATGAATGAAAGAGTAGAAATGCTTTGGAATCTAATGGTATTTAAATATAGGTACAAAGGATCTCCACGCATCCTAACCAGCTAAATTTGGCTACTGTATTGAATTAACTGGAAGACTGAGCATGAATGATTAAGGGTTCTGAGCAAGGACTGAATACTCAGCTGAGAAAAGAATACCTCGAAATAACACAAGATGGAGAGGAAGTGTTTGCTGAATTTCATCGGGAATACTCTGCTTTATCAGTGGGTGCAAGAAATCAACACACATATCACTTCAGAGTAATCTGAGATACTTGTCAGAAAGGAATTTAGCTTTCCTGCAGCATATGCCTGAAGGTCATAATATATTACAGGCTTGTGATACTCTCTCAAGTATCTTTTCACTTGTCAAATGTCTAAGCACCTCCAGAGTCTAATTTTATGAAGCTCTTCCAGTATCCTTACAGTGGGGTCCCTCCCCTGACTTTGCTCCCTAGACTAATGTCCTGATGGTGAGGAGCAGACACTGTGGAATGTGCCTCTTTTTGCAGGGACTGAGGGGAGGAAAGAGGCCCACACTGGAAGGTAATAGACCTACTGTCCACACCCAGCTCTGTGACCAACTGTGGGTCTGCAAAATCACTTTACTCACCAAATCCCAGTTTCCTAACACACACACTGGCACAAAAGTGCCTGGTCCTCCTCTCCTTTCCTCCCGCATTAATGGGTGAAATGAATAGCTTACAATGTGTCATCCTACTATGGGGGAGATTTAAGGTGATTCTGACGGATCGCATACACAAAAGGAAAGTGTATTTGCTTAGTTCACATCTTTGGCAACTAAGTGGCGTCCTATCCCAGAGGCTGTAAGCAGGAATAACTCAGTCTCCGAAGAGAGGAGAGTGATAGAGCAACGTCTTTGTTCTATTAGTAATGAAACAGAGAATGCCAGCAAATGTCTTCTGTAAGGGATTTCAATTGCATGTGATAAAGTGCTTGGGAAATGGTGGTGAAATGTATTGGTGACAAAGACAAGGCTATGACATACTTGTAATAGGGCTGTTGTTGTCATTGCCTGGCGTCCAAGACAGCTGAACACTTTTGTCGAGTTGATCCGTCAATTCTAAATCAAAGGGAGGATTTGGGACATCTGTAGACCGAACACACATACCACCGTTACCCATCCATTCTTATAAGGTTCTCCTTTACCCGTGATAGTACTCACGGGGTGGTGGGGGTGGGGATGGGGTGGGATGGGGGGGTGGCGTGGGAGGTGGGGTTGGGGGTGGGGGGCATCTTAAAGAAACAGCACACTTAATGGTTAATGAGCATGCATCTGAAATGAAATGGGAGCCACTGAGGTTGCTGGGAACACACAAGCACACCCAAGACCTCCTCCAAGCAAGGAGTTCCGCTTGCTCCTTTTTCAAATGAAACCACATCACTGGTGACCAAAACCAGTGAGGTGGGCATACATGGTTCACCAGCACTCTCAATGTGTCTTCTCACAGACATGAAGAGCACAAAAAGAAAAAATAATATTGAAGCTTAATTTCTAATAAATGGGAGACAGAACAGCAAACGCTGAAAGACCAATACAGGCAAATATAATGTACTGCTTAAGAAGACCTCAATGTTCTTTCTGAAATGTGTGAAATTATAGATTTTGGAGCTCCTGGAGAATATTTATATTTTTAGGGGAATTCTAAGATTGATGCTATATAAGTAGCCCTCAGCATGCATACCTCATGCAGAGGCTCAGTAGAATAGTCAGGCGGGCCCATGGGGACACGGTGTGTGTACTCTCAGAGGACACTAGGGTACAGACACCTCTGGGCTTTTCCTGACCTTGCTCTTGGGAGTGACTGTGGCTCTTGGGGAACCAGAAGCCATATAGAAATATGGACACTTCTTTCCTGTCAGTAAAGAAACAGTAAATGTCTACCAAGGGCAGTTCTTCTATAGCTTACCTATTGATACTATAAAATCCAGCTGCGTGTATGCCATAAAATTAATTTTTGTATTTATAGGCTGAATAAAGATGAAGGTTCTTTAATCAAAAAGAGTTCTGGAAATAATTTCCGATTTATTTTCCAGGCTCAGAAAAGTCACACAACCCGGAAGTGCCCTCCTTTTGGTCTTTCTTTAGTGATTCATGTTTTTTAACGCAATGAGTTGTTTTTCTCTAATACAAAGGTCAAATGTTCTAAACATTCACTGTTTTCCTATGTAAATTTCTGGAAAATGGAATCCCCAAACGTCTGTGTTTCCGAAACAACTTTTAATAGCCTGAAATAAAAACCTGATTTGTGGAATGATCTTTGAGATAGTTTTTTTTTTTTCATTCTGGAAACAGTGGAGGACAGCTTTTGAAAAAGCATGATGCTATTTTACAAGGAAATTATACCAAAGAGGGACTTTTATCAAATGAAATGACTTTATAATAACACATGAAATATTTAGCAATGAGTGGTACTACACTCAGTGAAACATTCCAGAGCTATAATGAAGGAAATGATTTATGGCAGTAAATGAGAGACAGAACAGAACGCTGGACAGAGCCCTTGTCCTTAAAGCAACACAATCAATGATGTGGCAGACAAAAGAAAGGAATTATTATTATTACTATTATTATTTTTTACACATGTGAACTTGTTTGACAGAAAACAGAGAAAGAAGACTCATATTAGTTTACCGTAAATAGGAGCTGGAGTTGGAGTAGGAGCTAGAAAGGACATTAATATAAAGGATTTTAATCAAAATTAGTCATGGAAAGATATAAAATAGCACAAGAAGACAAAGACTGACCATGATTAAGATTCTAAAACCGAGCTGTACACTAGCTGTGGGACACGGCATTGGTAAACATGCAGTAACAACACAGGGCGGGGGGGGATCCTTCAATCTTAAATCAAAGTACATTATTTCTCCCGATTTTCTTGTAAAAAAATCACTACTACGCAAGCCATCATTTTATTCCAGCGCTGCTACAGTAGTATATACTGAAATTACTGCCTCAAAGGCCTCTCTCAAAGAAGAAAAGTGTAGGTATTTAATTCCCCTACAAAACTGTAGAACTATATAACAAGCAAGCATTTACTCTGGACAGTTTTCCTTCTGACCTAACACAAGGCAGCCAGCGGTGCTGGGTGTGTTCTAGTTCTTACCAACAACGCTCAGCACAGCACTGGCAGAAACGTTGTCCAGAGTTGTGTTGGCCACACACGTGTAGGTCCCACCATCATCATCCCTTACATCAGCCACCACCAAATGGTCCTTGTCCACAGTGAACCTGTGAAGAAAACAGGTTCAGAGCAGCTGAAATGGACACCCGACCATACATGATGGATGTTTGCTTTACTGGCATGAAAGAAACTCTGTGAATTTGAAACAAAGAGAGAGAGAGGACAAACATTTGCAGCTAGTTAGAGCAGAAATCCAAAAAATATGTCTCACCTTGATCATGCAAAAGCTGGAAGACAATTAGAATGGACTAGAAGCTTGGGTTAGAAGGGATGTCAAGTCATTTCAAGCACGCCCCTGGAAGGTTAGGTGCTTCCCTGAAGACCAGGGGGGCACCCAGAGGTGGGGGGGCAGCTGCAGTCACCCTTACTAGCAGGCTCTCTTGTGGCTTCGGCTGCTAAGGAACATTTGAACACCACTCATTCAGCTCCATTTCTAACAAAGTGTGTATTTTAAAATAATTTATCATTGACTGCAGAAATTTTGTGCCATTTTTGCCAGGTGCATGAACTCTCATGGGAGTAAGTAAATGCAAAGAATAGTATCAACTTCATCATAAGGGGACAGGATGACTTAGATCAGCGAGCACCATGGAGAGTTCTCTAGAGGTTACTAGCTGGCATGAGAAATTACTCAGTAGGACAAAAATCCATGTAAATAGGATTCATGCATGATTCTAATGAGGATGCATAAATCATTCACTGTCTTTGCAGGGAATTTCCAAGTTAAAGTTTTAGCCACCTTCACTCCACAGTCATTTCTTCCTATTTCCTTCTCATCTTTACCAACTCAGATGCCACAAATAAAACTGGCCAGGTAGGGGGTGCCTGGGTGGCTCCGTCAGTTAAGTGTCTGCCTTCAGCTCAGGTCATGATCCCAGGGTCCTGGGATTGAGCCCCACACCCTACATCCGGCTCCCTGCTCTGCGGGGAGCCTGCTTCTCCCTCTCCCTCTGCTCCCTGCTTGTGCTCTCTCATGCTCTCTCTCAAATAAATAAATAAAATCTTTAAAAAAAACAAAACAAAAACCTGGCCAGCTGGAAGCATAAAATTATATGGAAATTCTGGGTGTAGAGGAGAAGGTCACATAGTTGTGTGTGTGTGTGTGTGTGTGTGTGTGTTAGGGGCAGTTAAGCAACAAGCACTGCTTAGGCGCAGTTGCAAGCAAACCACAGGGAGCATTTCCACCAACACACAGCATTTCTTCCACTAGGGGGGCAATGTTTGTAGCCTCTGTGACAGTTCAAATTCACTAGGTCAGCTCTATACCTATTCATTCAAATTGAGGCTTCACCCAGAAAATGGGAATGACTTTTCCTCCATTCCAAGCTCAAGGACTGCAATGTGTTTAGGCTATTTTAAATAGTTTACCTGTTTTTTCCCCCTTCTCTTTCTACTGGCCAAAGTGAAATCAAAAGAAAATTCCCTATCTGAATGAAAACTGGTGTCCTTTAAAATAATGACAAGGATTTAGGCGCACTCTGCTGATTAAAGTGATCGCATTTCTGCTTATTTGTAGAATGGTAATGAAAACATCTGTCGAGACTTCACTGTACAAGGTAGAAAATAATGGAAGTCATCCAAGGCCTGAAAGGTTTTTCCCATCCTGAATTACACAGGAGACCAGCACACAAAGACAGACAAACATTCTCAGGGTCTGATTTCAATAACTCGATACCTTTTTAGGTCCCCACATTTTGCAGCAGGCAGAAAATGCTTTTTTTTTTTTTTTTTTTTTTTGGAGAGACCAGATCTCAGAAACTTCAAAAACACCACTGGTAAGTCACTCTACGATAAACCTTTAATTCAGAGAAGCTCAAAGAGGCAGGGAAGAGAAAGGAAACAAATGGTCTTCAAATACCTTCCGTCACTGGGCAGCTCACCGTTGTCCTTCAGCCATGTGATGGTGGGGATTAAGGTGTGATCATGTTTCACTTTGCATTCGAAGGACACGGTGCCCCCTCTTTGCATAACTGCATATTCGGGCTGTTTAATGATCCTTGTTGCATCTGAAATTTAGCTATTGTTATCCATTGCCAAAGCTGAAGAATTTGCTCAAAGTCACATAATACCTGAAAAAACTTCATCACCTCCGCCTTACCTTTGATTTCTAAGTGAACTTCATTCTTTGCCATTCCTAATTTATTCCTTGCAACACATGTATAAGTTCCCGTACTGTCCTTTTGGGCCACAGGAATTTCCAAAGTGCCATTTTCATGCAAAACATAAATATCTTCACGAAGGGCACTACCTTTAGCTCCCTTGAACCTTCATTACAGAAATTATCACAATGGGAATAAAAAAAAATCATAATTTGAAGTCAGACATAAAATGCCACATTCGAGGTCAGCACATGATGATGTGCATCATAGTATCAAGTTCGGAGACGTTTGGAATCTGCAAAAGATGTCTCGGATTGCATGCCTGTAAGTCAGCGGGGCCCATGGAAGGCAGGATGTAAAACTGGAAAATTTCATGAGAAGTGGTGCTTTAAGCATTAGGATGACAATACGAAATACTTCAATTGTAATTTTCTGTATCAGATTCATATTTAATACACACATTACTACCTATTCTATCTCCACATGGGTGATAAAACAGGCAACATGATGACGGATCTTTTTGGTCTTTTTCTTCCTCCTGGGATATATTCATAAGTCCATCTGCAGGCTACAATTCTAAAGCCAACTTCAGCAGAAGATACTTGATTTGAATTCTAAAGAGACTTTTTATTTGTATGAGTAGGAAAATACTCAGGGGAGAAAAACAAGAAAGCCTGTATGCAAAGTATATGTCCGTTCAGCTTCCTGATCACTGTCAGACCAAACCCGCGAGCCAAAGTCAACCTAAGCTAAACAACCTAGGCAACCTGAGAGAACTCACCAGTCCACCACCTGCCCAAGCACCATGCTTCTCCTCTCTGCGGCTACCGTGGAGACCTGGGGAGTCTGTCCTTAATCCTACACCTGGCTTTGGCCTCACATCGGCCGGGGAAGCCCGGCTCTGTGTCTGGTCCCTGATGGACGATCGGTAAACAAATGTTCTAATTTTCTTTCACTTCTTCCTTCTGAGCTGCTGCCCATCCTCGCCTTGAGCCTCCCAGCTCAGGCTAAAGTAAGCAGGCACCTCGGTCCTGAGTGGCAAGTGGGGGGGCGGAAATGCTGGTTTGGAGCTTACAGAACCTCTCCCCGACCCCAGAGGATCCTTTATTATCCAGGAGGGTACCCGCAACAGTCCCCACGCACCATTCCTTGCAAAGTCCCAGGTGGTACTCATGGCATTGTAACATATTACTATACCTTAAATTTTCAACCCACCTATTTCCCTACACCTCTGTGCCTGACAAAGTGTGCTGCTGAATAGATTATACATGTGGAAGAATTTAGCACCGAGCAAGTAGTTAATACATCTTTACGAATGAATTTAATAATAGTATGATGGAGTCAGCCCTGTCCTCTGAATAAATAAAAACCCAATACCCAGAGAAATTTGAAGGCTTTAGCAAACGTAAATATTAAAGGCAAACAGAGCCATTACTTACCACTCAATGGTCGGCAGAGGAGACCCAAAGAAGGCACAATCCAGAAGAGCAGGCCTGTCTGCAATGACCTGATAGAGTGTATTTGCAGATGTAAGGATTCGTGGTGGCTCAGCTAAAAAAAAGTTTAAAAAGGTAAAGTAAATATTAAATAAAACAAACATTTAGGCCCACCATACATTTTACTGCATTTGAAGGCCGTTCAAGTTTACAGTAAAGCATAACCACTATGTCTCTCCCCTTATGTTCTCTATCAGGTACGACACCACCAGCATCTCAAGGTGGAGAAATACAAGTTTTCTCCTTCTGCCTCATACCCCACATCTCATCTTGCTCAGGCACGGTATTTTAATGATTTATTTATCTAGATGTCCTACTACCCTGTGAGTCCCTTGCAGGCAGGGAATGGGACTTTTATTGTTTTCTTCCCAGAAACTAGGTCAGTATCTGGTACAAAAATAATGGCCGAGTACATCTTTGTTAAGTGATTGGCCCATGCTAACCCTGGGGTTATGAGGGGGGTGGGGGGGTAGGAGGGGTGACAGGCACATAGTAGCAGAAAAGCTCAGAGTGTGGACACCTGAAACAGAACCAGAAACTGGCTCCCAAACACCCACCAACACTGCACGTGTGCTCAGCTCTGCGTGTGTCATTGGCCTCCATTTCGAGCATGAAGGAAACATGCCAAGGACTGGTTGGCTTCCTGACTTTAATTTCATTTGAAAGGGAGCCTACTACACTTATTGAGTTGAAATATAATTCCCTGGAGCCATGAAAACAAGTCTCACTTCCAATTTTAATAAATTTGATGTTTTCGGTAGTTTTGTCCAGTATGAGAAATGGAATGTTCACATAAACCAACCATTTCACGCAGAGGACCTGAATAAACATTTCTCCAAAGAAGACATATAGATGGCCAAGAGACACATGAAAGGGTGCTCAACATCACTCATCATTGGAGAAATGCAAATCAAAACCACATTGAGATATCACTCATGCCTATTAGAATGGCTAAAATCAAGAAGACAAGAAACAACAGGTGTTGGCGAGGATGTAGAGAAAAAGGAACCCTCATGCCCTGTTGGTGGGAATGTAAATTGGTACAGCCACTGCGGAAAACAGTATGGAGTTTCCTCAAAAAATTAAAAATAGAAATATCATAGGATCCAATAATTCCACTGTTGGGTATTTACCCAGGGAAACAAAAACACTAACTCAAAGAGACACCCCTGTGTTTATTGTGGCATTGTTTACAATAGCCAAGATATGGAAGTAACCTAAGTGTCCATCAATAGACAAATGAACAAGGAAAAAATGAACGCACGTGTGTGTGTGTGTGTATGGGATATTACACAGCCATAAAAAGGATGAGACTGAGCCATTTCAGATAACATGGATGAACCTAGATAGTATTATGACAAGTGAAATTAGTCAGACGAGAAAGACAAAACCCATATGATTCCACTCATATCCGATAAGTGGAATCTAAAAAAAAAAAAAAATAAACAAACAAAAAGCAGGATCAGAACTATAAATAATGATGGTTGCCAGAGGGGAGGGGTCCAGAGTTGGGCAAAACTGGGGAGAGTATGTGCTATGGTGAGCGCTGTGAATTGTGTAAGACTGTTGAATCACAGACCTGTACCTCTGAAACAAATAATACATTATATGTTAAAAAAAAAAAAAAAAGAAGATAGCAGGAGGGGAAGAATGAAGGGGGGGAAATTGGAGGGGGAGACGAACCATGAAAGACTATGGACTCTGAGAAACAAACTGAGGGTTCTAGAGGGGAGGGGGGTGGGGGGATGGATTAGCTTGGTGATGGGTATTAAAGAGGGCACGTTCTGCATGGAGCACTGGGTGTTATACGCAAACAATGAATCATGGAACACTACATCAAAAACTAATGATGTAATGTATGGTGATTAACATAACATAATAAATTTAAAAAAAAAAGAATTCTAAAAATATTAAAAAAAAATGCGTGAAGGGGAGCAGGAAAGACCGGCCTCCAGTTATGGAATGGTTAAGTCCCGGGAATAAAAGCAGAGCATCAGGAATGCAGTCAATGATGCTGTAATCGTGTTGTATCAGGACAGACGGCAGCTACACTTGTGGTGAATATAAGCATCCTGTGTACACTCGTCAGATCACTAAGTTGTACACCCGAAACTAGCGTAACATTGTGTGTCAACTACACTCAAAAAGCCAAAACAAAACACAAAACATTTCAGAAGATGTTTGAGTCTACCACAGTGTTCTAAACATATTATTAAGGATTAATAAATAAATGTACATCTGTGACAAGGATAAAGCCCGAACATTAACGGCTGGTGATTTATTTTTTCAAAAATCAGAATGAGATTGTTGTTGAACTTACCAGTTTCTAGAGATGGAGTGGCAGTAACATTCAGTTACCAATAGCAGATTAATGCTATTTTCCTTTTGAGGGTTTGACACTTAGCCTAACCATCTGTGGATGGAGAGGTCTATTTGATTATATCTACAGTAAACAATTTGCCACAACGATTGCGTTACAAAAGGACACAAAGGCCAGAGTACCATACCCTTTAGGGCAAGGTCTGTATCCTACCCGTCTTCATACAGCCCATTCAGCTCCAAGTCCTCTGTGCATCGCACAGTAGATGCTTGCTCTATTTTTGCTGAGAACAACAGTGGTCATTAACTGAACTGGTCATGTCTTTAATAAAGGGAGAGCTTACCCAGCACATTTACAAATGCGTTTGCCAGTAAATATCCATATTCGTTAGAGGCATTGCACTGGTACACCGCACTTGATCTTTCTTGAACATTTGAAAAAATAATGGTATCGCCATCTATTTTTCTGCTGGGGTCATCAGGAGCAACTGTTTGGGTGTAAAAATATAAAGCATCTATTTATTCTTCTCTGCTTAGAAGATGTAAAGTGTGAGGTCTACACTCTAGTAAGCAGAACAGAAATACATGCCAATTGAGGTATATGTAGTGAGAAGGAGGAGAAATCATACTTTTCCCTCCTCTGACTTTGGTTATCACTTATCAGCACATTATGCCTGATATTCATTCAGTCCTAAGTCGATTGATTCTGTAAAACTGAACATTATTTTGAGAGATCCATGGGGAAAAGCACAAGGTAGGTGAAAACAGAAATACACATTCGGGAAAGCATTGCCTTATTCACAAAGAAACTGTGGTTCTTCATAAGGAGACAAGTTAATTCTCGAGAGGAGACAGCAAACGCTAGTCAAAAATAGAGAAACCCTCTAGCTCAACCAAACCTGTGTCCTTAATGAGCCTCTCGTTGAAATAAACAAATAAATAAGTACATAAAGACATATACAGGGCCAATCATCAAATGTGAAAATATTTTCTTGTATCAGAAATTCCTGAGGCTGAGGCAAAAACAAATCAAGTGAAATTATGTGTTTTTCAGCTAAATCTCTCAAGTACATAAAAAAAGAAAAAAAATGTCAGGACCAGGACTGATCCTTACCGAAGTGGAGCGGAACAGGGCGTGTAACATAATATGTGAGAATTTAGTTCAGGTCATGCCCAGCAGTGTGGAAGTGCTGTGTTCCTGGAGATAAATTCCTGTCTGTGAGTGCTAAACCTCAGGCTGTGACCTTACATTGCTTTAAAAGCACACTCAAAGGGGCAAGAAGTATCTGCCTCAGCATGCGGATCAAAATCAACACTCCATAATAGCACCTTTTCCCTGAAATCTCCTCTTGCAACTTGACCCACTTAAGAAGGCTTTGCTTCCATTCCAAACACTGTACTTTTCTCTTTGATGACAGGAAAGGGAGGTACATCTAAGACATGGTTATCACTGCATTTAGATGCCTTTATCCCTTGCAAATCTCAAATATTTGGTTCACCTGTGGCTTATTAACTCACTTTAATACAGTTAAACCAAACTATAGTCATTCAGCCTTGTCTTAGTAGTCACGTGCCCACTCATGCTGTATTTGTTTTCTATGGCTGCTGTAACAAGTTACAAAATTAGTGGCTTAAAACCACATAAATTTACCATCCGACAGTTCTCTATGTGGTTGTTCGACACCCCAATCGCAATCAATAGCTAATTTATAACGCCACCTTAGACACTCCAGTTAGTTCGTCTAGTGGTAGGGGTATGCCAGGATCCTTTGGGTCGGCTTCTTAGCTCATCTCTGCTGTTTAGGACTCTATAAACATTTCAAAATGCCTTAAGAAATATGTTCTTCCAACCAGAGGACAAATACAAGTTCTGATTCCTTTAATAGGGCAAAGATTTCATCAGTACGTGACAGCAGAGGACAGAGATGTCACACTGGCCTGGGAAGTGAACTATAGCTGCGGCAGACAGCCAGGTACCCCAAGAATGCAGTATTCCCGGGGGCCACCCACATTCCTTGTCCCAGACCCCAAGTCTATTATCTCTGAGGACTTGCTGACTCACCCGCTCTCAGTGATGTCCATCCAAGCAAGGCTGATGGAACAGAACAGGCTAGAAATCTCTTTCTCTGTCAGTTATTCTCAGCAGTTTTGGACCCAGCACTTGGGCACTCAGTGTTGGGCCGCTTTGGGGGACTCTTGGTGCTCAGAATTCTGACTGTACCTCTGCAGACATGCTAGGCAGTGGAGGGAGGGAGTGCAATGCTTGGGCAGAGCGCTAGCCTGAATCTCTCTGGATGTGTGAGGACAGCTCCTTACATTCCTTGAGTATTATGGAGCTCTTAAAAGTTACACCCTCATGTGTGGTTTAATGGGTAGAGAGCTCTGGGTTTGCAAGATGAGAAAGTTCTGGAGATCTATTCAACTGTAAGATGAATATACTTAACACTGCTGAACTATAACCTCAAAAAAGAGTAAGGTGGTAAATTTTATGTTACGTCTTTTTTATTTTTTTAATTAAAAAATTTTTTTAATTAAAGATTTTATTTATTTATTTGACAGAGAGAGACACAGTGAGTGAGAGAACACAAGCAGGGGGAATGGAAGAGGGAGAAGCAGGCTCCCCGTGGAGCAGGGAGCCTGTTGCGGGACTCGATCCCAGGACCCTGGGATCATGACCTGAGCTGAAGGCAGATGCTTAATGACTGCGCCACCCAGGCGCTCATGTGTTATTTTTAACTACAATAAAAATACATAACCATGAACTTGGAAGACCAGCTCAACTAATGAGGCCAGTAGGACAATCTTCCCTCAGTGGGGACTCATGAATCACAACATAAACCATTTTAAGGAGCTTTTATGTAGCCCACCCTTGCATTTTTCCTTGCCATCAACTCTTTTTAATGTTATTCTTTACCTAAAGGGCATCAGACTATATCTGTTTTATTGCTGCTTAATGGAGCAGTCTTCAAATATTTATTTTTTGGCAAGGTGTTTAGGAATAAAATAAATCCTTTAGGTAAGAGTGGTGCATAAACTAATATCCCTCCGTGGGGGTTGGGGTTACATTTTCCTTAAGCACTTTAATTAAAGAAACACAAACAAACCCAGGCACCCACAGTGACATATGGAAACTCAGCTGGGATTGGACAAAGACGAAAATCACTAGTGTAGAGCTACTGGAAGCCCTTGGAGTCTGTGTGCTGGCTTCTGGGTAGGAGTGACTGTCCAGCAACCCAACCCCAGGTATCCAAAGGAATAATGATTACTTGTGGGAATAAGCAACTTTCTTTGCTATAAATGAACAACGGAGAAAGAAATCTGAGCATGGAGTCATCACATACAATTTAAAGCTCCAAAGGTAAGGTTCAGAACTGGGGTGATAGCCTTCCAACAAGACATTCTTTTATTCTAACTGTCCTGACACAGCTGGCCAGATCTAGAAATGCTTCCAATGTTTAGATAATGAGAATAATAATGAGTGCCACCTTCTATGTAGAGAGCACTATCCATTTAAAAAAAATTTTTGTATTTATTGCATAATTTATTTCAAAAAGAACTTTGTGCAATGGATTTTTTTTTGGGGGGGTGCAATGGATTAACTAGAAAGTGTGTGTAGTGTGGAGAAGAGAAACCAGAGACTGGAGCACACAGTGGTTTAACATGAGATGAACGCTCAGATTTTCTGAGGCAGTCCACTTTATAAACATCTCCTTGAATTCTGAACATTTGGCCATGGTGCAGAACACATCTCTGGGTGTAGAGATGAGTTTTCCTTCATCTACTTATTCCATCTCTCATAAGGGGATGCCAACGGAGCCCTCTACTTTGGCGAAAAGGCAGAAGGGAGATGCCTTGGTGGAATCTTGGGAATATCCTGGACCATGCCCTCCATGCCCCCTGCTGCAGGGATGTGGCTGTCCCCGGACCCTCTCCCTCAGCAGCTACCCCCCTCGAGGTTTCTGCAGCTTCTTAAGGGAAGGTGTGGTGGCCACCACAGCTGGTGCTCCCAGCTAATTGCTGGGGTCTACAGGAGGCCCCCTTGAAGGTTAGGAACCCTCGCCATGCCAATTCCATCCACCAAGTCCTGTGGCGACTGTGCCGTCCCTCACGCAGCCTGCCTCTCTGCCATCCCCCACTGCTCCATCTCTGCAGGCATCTGTGGGGTGCACAGCTCAACAAGCTGCAGATGAGAAACAAGCCCGTCTCCCTTGTCTAGAGTGGCCCCCAAACTTCAAAGGCAATTCGATTTCGGGGTCTCCGGATCACAGGCTAATTATCAAACAGGATGGAAAGGGGAGAGGCGCAACGCTCTTTAAACTTCTACAGATTTTTTGACTGTTTTCTTCTACATTTACTCCTTATGTTGGAGCAAGGGAGGTCAACACGAGGGGAGACAGGTAGGGTTCACTTTGAACTCAGCTAGTCAAGGCTCAGCAGAGTCTGTAGATAGATCAGCTGCCGGGGGTAGGGGCAGGGAACAGGGTGGTCCTGCAGGACCACTGTGCAGAGAGCTATGAGGGTCCCCAACAGCTGCTGCAAGCCCATCACCTATTAGTGATGAGATCCCGCACATGAACCCATGCACTCTGAGCCTGGCCACCGGATGCGGAGGAAGCCACCATTCATAGATGCTTCATATCACCTTGGTATATGAACGAATCTGGAACCCGATTTGGGAGATTTTGTTCTAACTTTCTGCTCGGGACCTAATCAGATGATTTGGGGTTACGGTAGAAGGGCCTAACTTGTATCCCAGGACCGCTGTCCTGTGCCTCCGCTCTCCCCAGGCAGGCCTTTCTGGGTTGATCCTGCCCCCAGATATTTCAATTAAAGGGGAGTGTCTATGAGTGCCTTTCAAAGCTCTTAATTTAACTGGAGCCACAAGGCTCCCTGAGAGGCACCGGCTTGTCAGTCCCACGGAGGCCAGATCTCAAGTGTGCGGTTAACCCTCCCTAAAGGGCACAGACCCTCCAAAGTTGCAAACCGTGTTGCCGCAGCGCTCCAGCCTTTCCTGCCGTTCTGTATGCATTTCTGGGAAAATCCAAGAGTGCACCACAAAACTTCTTCTTTAGATCTGGGCCATATTCCTCTTTTCTCTGATTCCATTCATGGCCACAGCTTCCCAATGCACAACCACAAAGTACTCTCTGCACTTCTTCCTGATCCCGATCATGGTTAAAATTGGGAGCAGAAATACCCAAGCCTCATTTGCCAGCCTCTGTGTAATCTGCATTCTCCCAGGAACATAATTTCCTTTCACAGTAAACACAGACTGTCTGTTTTAGAGTATCTGATAACTATTGCGTAGTGTGACACAAATTCCTAATAAAATTCATAGAACGGGGAGCTCTTCCTTGGTCTAGACCTGCCATTGTAAGACCTGGATGGTGAGCCACAGGGACTGAGCCATGGAAATCTGCCAGCATTTCTCAGATCCATCCTAGGGTGAAGACTATTTCAGAAAAGCCAGTTTAATGGACCTTTTAGTTATGTAGAAGTAGAACCAATTTTTGTCTCTGGCTTGGAGGCAATGAGGAGCAAAGCTGCTCTACTTCATAGGCCTGAACGTTGTCTTTATTGTGAGTCAAGAATATCTTTGCTAATTATTGTTATTGGCTAGAGGGTGAGCCTGAGTCTAGGTTTTAAATGAAAGCCAATTTTCTCTCTCTCTCTGGGTCTGGGTGTGAACTTCAAGAAGGGGAAAATGTGCAGAGATTCTCCTTCAAGCAGCCGCTGGTGGTGGCTGAGGCCGGGACAAAAGGAGAACTGGTGTGCTCTCTCTCTTAGGAATCTGGGAGCAGGGAGGGGCAATATCCGATTTTAAGTTTGTTTTGTTTTGCCATCATCCTCAAGCCTTCCACTATCCGCAAGCCTTTCCCTAGGTTTTGTAAAGCTGGTGTCTGCTGTGATTTAGATTAATGGATGGGCCTGTGACCACACTCTGGGGGACCGTTCTGGGCAGCGTGGCGGCAGGCTGGAGAAGCTGGTTGAGAGAGCGAGAGCCACGAGTGGTCCAGGGAAGACGGCTAAGGGGTGGCCCACAGCAGCCAGGCCTGCATCAGTACTGCTCCAGTGAGCTTGGCATACCTGGGGAGGGGAGACTAGGCAAAGACCGAGGGTCCTGCACGTAGTCACGGTCAGAGGGTATGTTCTTCTGTGGGCATTAAATGGGATGGTGACCTCTGAAGACCAGAGAACTGGGGAACATCTGGGCTGTGCTTAGGAATGAAAACTCTTTAAATGACTACAGCTGTGTCTCTTATTCTCGTCACAGCCTCCCCTCCGTGTCTCCTTGGACTCCTGTGCTGTCTCCACAAAACACTCGACATTCGGAACAGAGACAATCATCTGAACTCTGCAGGAATGTTTCTTTCTGACCCTGTCATTCTTTCCTGGATCCATGTAAAAAAACAGGAAATATTGCCAAGTCCTAATCAACACATACCGTCACGTTAAGGGCACAGAGTACTCTGTCATAAAGAATATCTAAAGGTAATAAAATAAACATCCAAAGGTAATTTGGTGCCTCTTTTTTTTTTTTTACTTTTATTTTTTTATTGTTATGTTAATCCCCATACATCATTAGTTTTAGATGTAGTGTTCCATGGTTCATTGTTTGCATATAAAACCCAGTGCTCCATTCAGTACTTGCCCTCTTTAATACCCATCACCAGGCTGACCCATCCTCCTGTCCTCCTCCCCTCTAGAACCCTCAGTTTATTTTTCGGAGTCCATCGTCTCTCATGGTTCGTCTACCCCTCCGATTTCCCCCCCTTCATTCTTCCCCTCCTGCTATCTTCTTTTTTTTTTTCTTAACATATATTGCATTATTTGTTTCAGAGGTACAGATCTGAGATTCAACAGTCTTAATTTGGTGCCTCTTTTTAAACTACACATGGCTTCCTTCCTCACCACCAGTGATTTTATCCCCACCTGTTCCCTGCTGAGATGTAGCTATGCTCTGAAAATGGACTGCAACCGCGGAGCCTGTCAAGGCAACTTACTTTCTCCTGGGACTCCATTCAATAACCAGCTAATTCTGGGCTTGGGGTTGCCACTGGCTCTGCACATCAGCCTGCCGTCCTCTCCTGGGGACAGCACAAGGTTTTGAGGTGCCATGATCCAGTATGGGGCCGCTTTGTGAATGAAAGAAAAAAAACCCACAAACACTTGAATCATACAAGTATTCTAGCAAATCTAGTATGCTGAACTATTTTAATAATAAAAATATTTTACAAAATATTTATTAGCTTCCTTTTTTTAAGAGTAAATAAATTCATAAGTGATGCCTCAAAGAACACTTTAGATTTTCAAAAGAATGTTTCAAGAGATTCACAGACAACTATGTATTATTTCTAGAGCCTTTTGATACAAAGACCATCTCACTTTACATTAAATTAACCAGACATTAGAAAGGTAACAGATTTCGCTAAGGTTATAGAGCAATTTACAGGGACAGATAGGGCTAAGAAACATGAATTTAGATTCTGAGCCCTGCAGAATACACATAATTATAAACCTGGGAAGGAAGTTAAAAAACTTCGCATTTTTGAGAAGTTGAAAAGTTAGGATAGAGAACTCCCATGAGCCCTTCATCCAGCTTTCTCTAATGTTCCCTTATATAACAATGGTTCAGTTATCAACACGAGAAATGAACACTGATACAATACCATTAGCTAAACTACATCTTCTTCTACTAATGGCTTCTCTCTGTCCCGGGACCCTCTCCTGGATACCACATCGTCTTTACTTGTCTTGTCGCCATACTAGTTTCCTCCAATCTGACAGTTTCTTGGTCTTTCCTTGTCTTTCGTGACCTTGACACTTTTAAACAGTACTGATTGATTATTTCATAGAATGTCTTTCAACTTGGGTTTGTCTGGTGTTTTTTCATGATCAGACTGAGGTTTTGGGTGATGGATCCCTCTTACTGCATCATTTTAGGGGGTCCACGATACCAACATGACTTTTTACTGCTTATGCTAACCTTGAGCACATGGTTGGGGTATTATCTGCCAGGTTTCTCTGTAAAGTTGCTATTTACCTGCTTTCCATAATCTATTCATTAGAAGTGAATCACTAAGTCCAGCCCACACTCAAGGGTGGGAAATTCAGCTCCATCTCCTTCCCAGAGGAAAGGTGAAGAATTTGTGAAAATATGTTAAACCTGCTTCTGTAATTAATTTTTGGGGTGTGTGTGTGAGAAGAAATACTTTGAGGCCAAGGGGATCCCTTGTTTCTCCTTAAAGTTTCATCCATCTTTCATCACTGGCTCTTGCCTGCAGGAGTTATAACCGTGGGATGTTAATGGTGATTTCTGGTTTCCCTCCTTCTTTCTACAGTTATTAATTGGAATTCTTCTATGAGAAAGGTTTGAGAAAGAGAATTTTTGACCTGATTTAGATGCACTCTAAAGAGCAGTGAGAAAAGAGGGTGTCAGGAATGTTGATATGAATTTACATTTATTATTAATTGAAGAATCAGATCAAAGGTGTATGTAATTGAAGATTTATGACTTCTCATGAAGGCAAGAGCCATGCATTTGAAACAATTGTATACCTTTAACTGTAACAGAAATGGTATGATGGATAGCTCCCAATGGGTTTTTGGCTATACACTGGTAATTTCCAGAGTCTGCTTCTGAAACCTGAATGATCTGTAGAGTTTTCTTGAAGTTCCTATAAAATGTCCGGTTGATGGGCAGTGTTCCATCTTCTTTTATCCAGTAAATAATTGGGGTAGGCCTGATAAGACAAATAAATGATATTATTAAAAAAGAAGTTCACCTCACTGCTTTTGAGGGTGAATCTTCATGAAAGTTGGTAACAACTTCTTTGTTTAAAGATCATGAGGACTAGAAAGACATTGTAACTAGCATCACACTTTTATAAATAATGCTTAAGCCCCTGTATCGAATTCTGTGAGCTAGCACGGTCAGGAAAGCAGCACTGCGGTAATGCATGGCACTCCATGACCTTTGACCTCCCTGATGTAATGAGCAGCCTAGCCTAGTGACTTCGCTGAAGGGGCCTCATTATTTTAGTCTCTTCAAAGTTCTGATCAGTGAGACACTCTTCGAAAATTTTACAGGAAGGAATACGTTAATCGAAAGGCTTACTATGAAATTAATGATACTGAGTTTTTTTATCAGCTAGAGTTAAAAATGCAGAAAAAAAAAGAGCTGATATATATATATATTTGTGCCCATGAACTTTTGCACACATTTCCCTATCAAATGGAAGAATTTTGATCTAGTGACTTTAGAAGATTTTTATGAGGGTAAAATAAAAATCCACTGGACACATATACTAAGCACTGAACTACGGACCAAGTACTGAGTTGTATGTTGGGAAGATAAAGACCAAAAAAAAAAGGCCTAGGAACCTCAGGAAGATCACAATATTTGTCCTTAGAAATGCAAGTGGGATTAATTGGTTGATTGTAGAATTGCTTCTGGTTTGTGTAGCTGAATAGAAATAATTGAACATATTTCTTTGATGAAATAACTTCTAAAATAAAACCTGCTGTGAATATAAAAAGAGGTAGAAAATGTAAAGTCATTTTAAAAAGTGGAAGATACGAGACCCATGTGGTATCTGATAGCATATTCCGGTGTTTTTTTTTTTATTCAGATAATCTGCACCTCACATGATCTGAAGGTAATGGATCATGGGGCTAGAAGCATGAGGTCAAACTAAGTCATGGATTGTTCTGGAAGCCTGCTTAGTATTCTACTGAACAGTTGTTAAGAATTAGAAATATTTTGATTCTGTGAGTCCTCCAGCTACTGGTTTGTAAATGATAAGAACCCCCAATATTAGTTTTATAACATCCCAAGGTTTTAAAAATTCTTTTGGAAGTTTTATGCAATTTCCAAATATCAACCATATTTTAGTTTTTATGTAATAGACTCTTCACAGGAAGGGGAATCACAAAATTGGGAGAATGGGTATCTCTACTCCCAAAAGGTTGGAGGCTGGTAGATTAAACTACTTTCTAACACCATGATGATGAAAACTGCAAGGGTTTGGGGGTTTGTTTTTTAATTCTGGTGGGAAGGATACATAATACATCTTTAAAGGGGCGTTTTGCTAGTTTCAGTTACTTGAACTGAGTAGTGTGTGTTGTGATTCCCTGACGTGACCAGCAGAGGCCTCCACAGGTCTCCTGCAGTAAAGCCATTCCTGGAGGTCAGTTCTGGGAAGGATCGAGAAACTGTTGCATTACCAGGTCAGGACATGGGATCACGACAATGTTTCTGAGACTCCATTCAATGTTTTCAGCAAATGTGCCCACATCAACAGTACTTACTCGGTGCCAGGGCTAAGATGGAACGATGTAGAAACTTGCCACTGATGTGCACCTAATTTAACAGTTGTCCTGAGGCATCTGCAAAGAAGCTAGGCTTGTGACCTGCCTACAGGAAGTAGTGGGAGAGACAGAGTGCCCATTCTGAGGCTAGACCCAAGAGCCCTAAGAGGCCGTGCATGTGCTTCTGTTGTTAGGAGAATAAGCCAGGGCTAGATGGCTGGAGGAACAGGAGAAACTCAAGGCCAAGAGCTGCCCTGCGAGCAGCCGGCAGACCCCTGGAATTGTGAACCCTCAGCGGAGCTGCCCAGCAGAGGCATGAGCAGGCTCACCCTAAAACATCCCGCTCTAGCCCGTTACAGCAACTGCCCTGCGACCTGCGGATGAATGATTAACGATAAACAGCTATTGTTTTTAAGCCGCTAGGTTTTGAGGTTGTCTGTTACATAACAGTAGCAAAATACTATACCCTAATTGTAATCATAGCAACCATAAGGTGACTACTGATACTTATTTCAAGAGGAACACTATTATGAGAATATTTCAATAATAGGAGATTCATACGGCTTATTTTTGAAAACAATTATGACATTTTTCTTGATGCTTGATGGAATTAGTATAAGACAATGAGTGTTGCTGTAATATCAGCCTCTCTTCCGATTCAGCAGGTTTCTGTAAGAAATGTACAGCAAGACAGAAAGTGCAGGGGCGCCTGCGTGGCTCAGTCGGTTAAGAGTCTGCCTTCGGACCCAGGCTCCTGGGATCGGGATCAAGCCCCCAGGTTGGCCTCCCTGCTCAACAGGGAGTCTGCTTCTCCCGCTGCCCTCCCCTCCCCTGCCCACAGGCTCATGCTCTCTCCGGCTGGTGCTCTCTCTCTCTCAAATAAATAAATAAATAAATAAAATCTTTTTTTTTTTTTTTTTTTTTTTTGAGAGAGAGAGAATGAGAGACAGAGAGCATGAGAGGGAGGAGGGTCAGAGGGGGAAGCAGACTCCCTGCCGAGCAGGGAGCCTAATGCGGGACTCGATCCCGGGACTCCAGGATCATGACCTGAGCCGAAGGCAGTCGCTTAACCAACTGAGCCACCCAGGCGCCCCAATAAATAAAATCTTAAAAAAAAAAAAAAGACAGAAAGCGTGAACTCACAGTCCCTCTGCAATGCATTCCAGCGAAAGGACATTCCCTCTTAATTCTTCCTTATGACTGGCATTGCCTTCTGGAGTTAAAAAGCTTGGTGGCCTCTCTCTATTTGATTTTGCTGCAAACAATACAATCATATGGATTAAAAGTTATGAATATGTATTTCTAGAAACACAGTTCACTGCCTAAAAATCTAATCCCTTTTCAAAACCACTTAACACTGTGAAATTCGTTAAACTGCACGTCCACACACTCTGCCTTACAAACATTGCTCACTCAGCAACGGAAACGATGTTGGTTACAGTAAGCACTAATACGAAGGACTATTTTACTCTTGTGCATTCCTTTAATTTGGGTTAGGTTTTTATGAATTTTTGGTGCTTTGGCAAATTTTCAAAATGTAGACATAGAGGAAAGTCACATTATCAAACTACCCAACTCTTAAAATTAGTGCTCGGGTCAAAGTGAAAATTAAACATATCGCGGAAGATGTTAGATTTTTCTGAAAGCTGTGACTATGGAAGTGGGCAGTTTGGTTTACACTAGGGACAACATCATAGTCAATTCCATTGATTAATCATGGACATAAATCTGTGGGGGATGTCTAAATATCAAGACGCCCAAACTGCAAGGTTTATGGAAAACAAAACAAAACTAGAAAGTTATTGACAGAGGTCTGGCAAATTGTGTGCCATACATTAAGAAAAATGAATGTTAAATAAATTGAACTTGGTTTCCTCAATGAAAAAATAAAGAGGCCTCAAGTCCGAGATCTCAGGGAGGCCCACGTAGGCTATCTTCCGTTTTATGGAAACCTTGTTTAAATGTGGCCTTACCTTCTAATGGCCTCTCAGAAAAATGTGAAGTAGGAATTATACCATCTTAAGGTTCTATAGCCCTTTACAGTTTTCAACACTTAAATGCATTATCTATTTGATGCTCACCAAAAGTGAGTGAAAAGGTAATATATGAATTATTCTCATTTCTCAGAAAAAAAAACAACTGAATACCAGGGAAGGTATTACTTGAGAGAAATGAGAATTTTCCTAAGACTTTAGAAATTGTGGAGGAAACCTTACTTCTCTGAAATCACTTTGGGAATGGTTTTGAGACCCATCTTTTTCAGGATATATTAAAATCAAATAGTAAGGCAGAAGTTGTGGTATGCCTACTCCAGTCATTGATAGTACCTTAATGTTTTTTACTTTATATCTCAAGGGTAAAAAATTAATACCGCAGAAATTCTGTCTTAGAGATCATTGAGAGGACCCTCATATCCAGAAACCACAATTTTCATTGATAGGCCTTATACTTGAAAGTCACATTTCCCTTAAGGAAACCAAATTCTTTTCTTTTTAAAAGGATAAAGTTAAATGCTCTATTTTTAAAAAGGCTATTTCTACTGAAGATAGTGACTTGGTTTTAAACAAAACTAAGAGAAATGCTATTGCTAATTATATGACACCAATAATGTCTATTTTTAAAAAGGCTATTTCTACTGAAGATAGTGACTTGGTTTTAAACAAAACTAAGAGAAATGCTATTGCTAATTATATGACACCGATAATGTCATGTGAGAACAGATGGGAAATGTGATGTTTTACTATCAAAATCCACTTGATGTTAGTTGCTAACGGTTATTAAGACTGACGAGTTAGTATTCTAGCGGGTTAATGCACTCTTATTTGGTTAATGAGAAAAGTTTGTGAACAAGACAAAAAAATGAAAAATATAATTCTAACATACATGAAAGATTTTTTTTTCCCAAATCACGGAAAATGGTGCTTCACATGAAAACAGTGATAATAATTTTTATTACTATACATACAACGTGCAAAATGTTTTAGTGACAGGATGTAAGCTTATAGCTAAATTTCATAGAAAACACACATTCGTTCTAGCAGTATTAAACATGGAACTAGGACTCTCATGAAGAAATTAGATTTAATAGCTATGGAGGTGAAGTTAGTGAACTGAATTCTACGATGAAGGAGAGGAGCATCAGTTGCAGTCACCGTAACTCACCACTATAAAACTCAGTGTCATTCAAATTAGCAGCTATGGTGTCATTCAATTCATCCACTGAAATAAACAGAATATTATGAAGAATGCAAAAAGCAGGGGAGAGGGTACTATAAAAAGGTATCGGGCAACAAAAGCAAACATATATAGCTATGCTGACCAAGTGCCATCCCTAGCACGTAAACCCAGGCTTTTACATTGTACGTGACTGACTGACTGATGACTTCACTCAGCCACCCAGCCAGTAATATAGGGACACAAAACTGAAGCTGTAGGGCTGCTAATTAAAGGCACGCTGGGGCATAAAGCACACGCAAATGCTCCGGGGACCAAGTAGACCCAGAAAGTTACTGTGGAAACAGCAACAGTGAAATCAGCAAAGAATGTAAAATACAGTATCTAGGTTATGTTATGTGTGCTCTTTATCTGCCAACACGTCAGTAACTAGTCACGGGTAGTTTCCTGATCAATGAACTTGTGTACTTCAAAGTCAGTAGTGTTTACTAGTTAATATATCTTAGGCACACTTACAAACATCATTGAAAGAGAGAGTCAGGAGGCTGAGCTCTTACCTGAAATCACCTTCACGGAAATAGGTTGCTTCTGCTGTATGGTTTGAGTGTGATTAAATCTGGCATAACAGATATAGTCCTCACGGGTATCCTCTGGGAGAACATTGGAGAAGTAAAGGTCTCCGTTAAGACCTTGAGAAACTCTCTCACTTTGTGGAAGTCTCTGAAAGGCTGGAGAAAGGCAGAGAGACATCCAGATGATTCCATTGCAAAGTGGCCACTTTCCCAATGACCAAGACAAATGTATCTACTAATAGTTTTGTGACCTTCACCAGAATTTTTTTTCCCCCTTTAAAGCTCTTCAAGTAAAAGCAAGTAACTGTAGAAACTCCAGCTGCGCCTGCCAAACCCTAATTTCTCTGGAGTGCGGGCAGAGATGAGATTAGAATCATACAGTTAAGTGTTGTATTAAACAAGTGTAAACAAACAAAAAAATGCTTTACAAAAGAGTTTGTGGGACTTTTCCTAATATTTAAGTTAGTCCCTAACTGTTAAACACATATACACATATATCTTGGAAAATGCGTTAAAAAAGGTTGTAAGGCTGTTAAGTTGGCTTGTCTCCACATGCTCGGTCAGACACCAGATACTGTGAGAGCACCTAACTTCAAACTAGGTTCCATGTGAGGCGCCCGGCATCTCAGGCTCCCTCCCTGCCTGAGCCCGTGGCCTCACTGAGGAATCGGGGAGCACACGGGGGCCATTCACAACAGCGAGTGATGATGATGGAATGCTGCAGATGAGCCCCTCAGAGGCCACCCCAGCCCAGCCTACCCCCACTCCACGATTTTTTTCTTTCCTTCTAACCTACTGTATTTTTACTTGGCCCATGTGTGCTTTATTGCCCGTCTTCCTGCACTGGGACTTTAGGTTCCAGGAGGACAGAGAGGGTCTGCTGTATCCTTGAACCCACGCAGGGCCCTTGCTAGGGGCTCCGTGATTAAGTGAAATGAAAGTCAGTATTCCCGGTTCATGCTTCACAGTTTACTTCCCCTCGGGTCCAGTTAAGGCACTGTCCAGCCTCAGGCACTGAAGGAAGGCTTTCTAAGTGGATGGAGGACTTAGGGAGGTGGGGACACTGATCTATGCATGAATTTACACTTGGGCTAACATGCATTTTTTTTTTTTTTAAGATTTTACTTATTTATTTGACAGAGAAAGAGACAGCGAGAGAGGGAACACAAGCAGGGGGAGTGGGAGAGGGAGAAGCAGGCTTCAATGTGGGGCTCGATCCCAGGACCCTGGGATCATGACCTGAGTCAAAGGCAGACACTTAATGACTGAGCTACCCAGGCGCCCCAACATGCATGTTTTAAAGCTTCTGACTCAATTCCCGGAGCCCTAACTGAGCATTCTGTGCGTCTGAAGTGAGAGAATGAGGAAACCTGCACACTTCAGCAGCCTTGGGGCTAGGCGTTCTGTCTTCTGGAGGATTCTCCAGTCTGAGCCAAGCAGTGGGCTCTTCCTGCAAAAGGCATCCTATCTAACACTATATGAAACGCAAAACTGTGGTCGAAAGCCTGCAGCTCCTCGGGGCAGGGAAATGTGGAGCCAGAGCCTGAAAGAATGCAGGTTAGCCATGTTAGCCAAGTTCTTGGCCACGATGGGGGTTTGGTTGGTGGTTGTAAATTCGTGATTATAAGCCGTGAATGCCTAGAGAAAGGGTTGTTTCAAGAATAACTCAAGAGGCGGGCCTGGGTGGCTCAGTCAGTTAAGTGTCCGGCTCTCGATTTCAGCTCAGGTCATGATCTCGGGGTTGTGAGATCAAGCCCCACGTCAGGTTCCATGCCGGGTTTGGAACCTGCTTGGGATTCTCTTTCCCTCTCCCTATGCTCCTCCTCACCCCTGGTCTTGCTCGCTCGCTCTCAAAAAAAATAAATAACTCAGGAAAATAATGTACACTTATTTGATGAATACAAAGAGTTAAAGATAAGTATTCATTTATTCTCTTCGGATTCTTGTGCTGTATTTTATTATTGATGGGTGTTGGTAGGTCAAATGAAAGGGAATGAGGCTTTAAGAGGGTGGTAGCACTTTGCTCTCTGAGATCCTTTGCCTTACACTTAGAAAAAAAAATGTATGCAGATAGGAAGAACTTGATAATGTCATCTTACAAGAATGCTACACAAATCTGAAAATTTTTTTGTATTCCAGATGCAATTTCATTTGAAAGGTCCGATGATTTGCTAACAGCCTAAAAGGTAGGTAAATGACATAGCCCAGCAGTGCAATATGGAAAACAAAGTTACATATTCAGATGATTCTGGAACTTTACAAGTATTCGCCTATGTATTAAGTGAAAAGGTCATCATTTCTGGGTAAGAACCAAGGACCAAACACTGAGTCTCGTTTCGGCAGTGACATTTGGATACACCTCTCATTTACAACTGATTCGCTATGTATTCTTTCAAAATCTGTTCAAAAGCTGTTATGCAGTAACAGGAAAATATGTTTGCTCATTGATTCATTCACATATTTATTTTTCATTTCTTTGTGATACTTTCTCTGAATATTTTTCCATATAAGAGTCACAAATGGAAATTAAATATTCCAGCGAAATTTTCTCTTTAGAAATGTGAACACTCTGAATTCAGAGGAAATCATGTCACTGAGAAGAGACTGTATTCCCTACAAATATTTTGCATTCCTTCCCACCAGTCCACCTAAACGATTCTTTTCAAGGTCAACAGTGATCCCCGTGTCGCCAAACTGAATAATTGTTTTTCAGTCAGCGCAGAAGTTATCTGATCTTTTGAAACAGTTGATTGTTCTGTCTTCTTGACATTTTGCTTCACTTTATCCCAAGGACACTGCTCTGTCTCTGTTCTCTTCCTCCCTCAGGGACTGCTCCTTCTCATCTGCTTTGCTGGTTTGTCCCTAAGTCCGCTGGGCGGCTCCTGATCTCCACATCCCAGGCTTTGCTCTGCCCCCATACCACTTCATCCCCCAGTTCTCTCACCCTGCCCCTGGCTCTAGGAGCACCTCTGCTCTACCATTCCTGCATTGCTGACCAGAGCCCGGCATCTGCCTTCCAAGTCCTGCTGGGCACCTCCTCATGGCTATCCTCCAGGCCTCCAGGTCTCTCACCTCCACAACCCTGGTTTCCTGGTCTCCAAGCAGAACCCCAAGCTACCTCTAAGGTAATATGCTAACCTATTAGCAGAGGAGGAGAGGCGGCAACAAACAGTTCCCTTAAGGATAGTACCGGCGTAGACAGATGTGAAATGGCCTAATGGATGACTTTATTCTGTGTGCTTCAGTTTCTGGAAAGATGACAAGATGCTCCACATTACTAATCATCAGGGAAATGCAAATGAAAACCACAGGTTTAATTACCTCACACCTGTCAGAACGGCTATTACATATAAGAAAAAATAACAATAATGAGTGTTGGTGAGGATGTGGAGAAAAGGAACGCTCATGCACTGCTGGCGGGAATGCAAGCTGATGCAGCCACTCCGGAAAACAGTATGGCGGTTCCTCAAAAAGTTGAAAATAGAACTACCCTACAATTCAGCAATTCCACCTTCTGTGTACTTATCCAAAGAAAATGAATATACCAATTTGAAGAGACACATGCACTCCATGTTTTTTGCAGCATTATTCACAATAGCCAAGACAGGGAAGCAACCCAAGTGTCCACCCATAGATGAATGGATAAAGAAGACATGGTATATAGACAATGGACTACCACACAACATTAAAAAGAACGAAATCTTGCCATTTGCGACAGTATGGATGGACCCAGAGAGTATTAAGTGAAATAAGTCAGACAGGGAAAGACAAATACCACATAATTTCGCTTATATATAGAATCTAAAACAAACAAACAAACAAGAGACTCACAGATACAGGAAACAAACCATTGGTTACCAGAATTGAGGAGGGGTTGGGGGATGGGCAAAATAGGTGAAGGGAATTAAGAAGTACAAACTTCCAGTAATAAAATGAGTAAGTCATGGGATGTACTGTACAGCACAGGGAATAAGTCATATTGTAATAACTCTGTATAGTGACAGATGGTAACTAGACTTGTTGTGGGGATCATTCCATAATGTATAAAAGTATGAAATCACTATGATGTACACCTGCAACTAACAGGACATTGTCAATTATATTTCGATAAAAAACATATAAAAAATAAAAAGTAGAATGAATAATCGGACATGCCCCATAGAGTTGTTGTAAAAAATTGATGAGATAATCCACGTGAAGTTCTCAGCAAAGGGACTGGCACTTCATAAATGCCCAATAAATATAAGCTGTTGTTGGAGATTAAAAAAAAAAACAACCTGAATGACAAAAGGTTAACACATCCCAAATAGCTTGAATCCCTGCCCCCAGCCTCGGGATTCTGCTTTTTCAGGAAACGGTGATTCCGTGTTGTCAGCTGCTCAGTGTTCAGCTCTGGAGTTATCTTTGGTCGCTCCCTCTCACGCCCCCAGCCCGATCCCAAGAAATCCTGGAGGCTCCATGTCCACAATATATCCAGAAGCTTTTTGTTCCCACCTGACAGTCACGACCCAAGTCCATGTCACCGTCAGCTTCTGCCTGGATTTCAGCAGGGGGCTCCTGGCAGTGCCCCTACCCCGCCTTTGTCCCCTCTGCAATCCACACAGGAACTGCAGGAGGGCTAATGCTAGCTGGTTAGGTCCAGGTATAGTCACTCCTTCCGTGTCTCCCCACTTCATTCAAAGCAAAAGCCAAAGCCCTCTGTACTGAGCCCCGGACTTCTCCGACCTTGTCTGTCTCCCTCCCACTGGGTTCGCGCGGTCTGGCCACGCTGCCCTCTGGGGCTTTCCAGGCACTAGGATGCTCCTGCCTCAGAGGGCCTGCGGGTTTCCCTTCCACCTGGACATTTAGGGGCCTGCCTTGCTCTCTCATTCCTCTAAGTCTCTGCTCAAAACGCTGCTTCTTTTTCTTTTTTTTTTTTTTAAGATTTTATTTATTTATTTGAGAGAGAGAGAGAACACAAGAGTGGGGTGAGAGGCAGAGGGAGAAGCAGACTCCCCGCTGAGCAGGGAGCCTGCCACGGGACTAGATCCCAGGACCCCGGGATCATGACCTGAGCCGAAAGGCAGACGCTTCACCAACTGAGCCACCCAGATGTCCCTGCTTATTTTTCTTCATAGAACTTATTGTCAACTGACGCCTACTTTATTTATTTATTTTTAGAAGATTTTGTTTATTTATTTGACAGAGAGAGACACAGCGAGAGAAGGAACACAAGCAGGGGGAGTGGGAGAAGGAGAAGCAGGCTTCCCGCCGGAGCAGGGAGCCCGATGCGGGACTCGATTCCAGGACCCTGAGATCATGACCTGAGCTGACGGCAGACGTTTAACGACTGAGCCACCCAGGCGCCCCCTGACGCCTACTTTATAAATGCATTGATTTCTGCTTCTGTCTTCACCCCCAACTATTCCCACTGCATAGAATATGAGCTCGGTGGAAGCAGGAAATTTGGTTTCTTTAGAGCGGTGCCTGGTATACAGTAGGTGCTCAAGAAAATCATGTTGCTTATTTCATGACATGTTATTTATTTCAACGAGCATTTCTTTTTTTTTTTTGAGCATCTCTAAAACACCTTATAAACATTTTTATGAATCATGAGAGGTAACAATTCATTGTGACAGCAAGTAATCATAAGAAACTTGAAGACAGAAAATTCATATTTTTAAAACTTACAATTATCCATCCAGAATATTATAGGTGGTGGTAATCCAAGAGGGGGTCTGCAGGGAAGTATCAGAGACTGGCCATTTCGAAGTATTATTGGTTCAAGTTTTTCTTTGGTCCACAGTGGTGATCCTATGATATAAAATAATAACTTCTAAGTTATTTCTGCATTGAAAAATAAAAGAGCACTAGAAAGGAAGACAAAATAAACTTTTGGGGGGAATAGTAATTCAGAATTCATGTACATTAAGACAACAAGACAATAACTTTTAAATCCAATGCTAAAAAAAATGATGATTTTTATTCACTGCCATTAATAGTATAAATGCTGACACAGCAATTCCATGTCTAAAAGTTTGTATTATTAAATAAATCATTAAGAAGATACATCATAGGGGTGCCTGGGTGGCTCAGTTGGTTAAGCGTCTGCCTTCAGCTCAGGTCATGATCCCGGGGTCCTGGGATGGAGCCCCGCATCAGGCTCCCTGCTCCGCGGGGAGTCTGCTTCTCCCTCTGACCCTCCCTCTTCTCATGCTCTCTCTCTCTCCCATTCTCTCTCTCAAATAAATGAATAAAATCTTAAAAAAAAAAAAAGCATGCTGCGGTGTGTAAAAAAAAAAGAAGATGCATCATAATTTCGCTACGAGAGTGTTCTTTACGAAAGAATGGAAGGCACTAAATGTCAAAACGTTTGTTTAAACGAGTAATTGTGCACCTACACTTTTGAGTGTCATATAGTAAGTATACGTATGTAGAAGATTGATATGAGAATATACATGATACGTAGATAAGTCAGAAAAGGTTATAAAATAGTACTTCAGAATGAGCTCCGTTGGAACACATACACGCAAATCTGCCTAGAAAATGTGGAAAGAGCAGTGGGCACTTGCTTGAATGGAAAGAGTCATGAGTAAATTTTTCAATTTCTTTTTTGTTATTTGTAACTTTTTCCCCAATAATGAACACAGGTAATAACAAGTTTTCAAAATGATCAGAACTGCAAATGGCTATGTTCTTTAAATACATGCTCTTTAAATACAAGTTGTTGAGAGGACATGGGTAGTGACTATTGCAAAAAGAGCCACAATTATCTCAAGGTAGTGAGGTCCCTCTATTTCCAGTGAAACTTAGAAACAAAAATGTTAATTACCCATTACCCATTTTATACTGAATTTATTTCCGTCGGGCTGTCGGAAGTTTGCTCATATATAAGATACGTGAGAAATTAATAATTTGATCAATTCGGGGAAGAAACGCTTTTCTTACTCCTGGTGTTTTATTCTGGACTCGCATAAAAGACATACTGGGTTGGCAAAGCATTAGGCTAGTGGAAAGGAGCAAGAATTTTCAGGCAAAACAAAGTGAGAGTACTGGAATCAATGGCATTGCTTTCTTGTAATAGTATCTAGATGAGGTCACAGATGCTGAGTCTCAGAGCCATCCTTAAAAATAGGGTCCTGTTTGGCAGACAAGTCCCACTTACTGGAAGGACGGACAACAATATTATTAGAAATTGCCGCTCCGCGCTCGTTCCTGGCTGTGCACTGATAGACCCCTTCGTAGGTCTCTGCTTTCCCTTCGCTCATGATGTTGATCGTGAGGGTTCCTGAGCCGGGCTTCATGGTGACGAGAGGGTCCTTATCTATGTCAAAATGCGTCCCATTGCGGGTCCAGGAGAAGCTGCCCAACACATCAAGCATTAAACTTGTTAACAGTCCACAAAAACAGGATGACTTCCTCTTTCACAAATTCCTAGCCGTTTTGTAGGCTTCTAGAGATAATGATTACATTTTAATATTCAGTGAAAGAGCAATAGGCTCCATACCTAAAATGTTTCATTGAATCAGAGCTTAGAAAAAAGGGCTGCAAGACTGTTTAATCACAGACCTGTACCCCTGAAACAAATAATACATTATACGTTTAAAAAAAAAAAAAAAAGATAGCAGGAAGGGAAAAATGACGGGGGTGGAAATCAGAGGGGGAGACGAACCATGAGAGACTATGGACTCTGAGAAACAAACTGAGGGTTCTAGAGGGGAGGGGGGTGGGGGAATGGGTTAGCCTGGTAATGGGTATTAAGGAGGGCACGTTCTGCATGGAGCACTGGGTGTTATATGCAAACAATGAATCATGGAACACTACATCGAAAACTAATGATGTAATATATGGTGATTAACATAACATAATAAAAAAAGAAATGTACCATTTTAAGGTACATGTCTTCATTTAGAACTAGCCGAAATCTGTCTCAAGGAAATCAGGCACACAAATTGCCTGTCATTTTTCAAAGAAAATACAGAAAGTAGGTCTCCGAGGCACATTCTCTTAGAGCTTTATTAGCATTTTTATTGTAAACTCCATTGTTCACAGAGTTGATAACCTGTCTATAAAATTTTGCTCTGGGCTGAAATGTGACAAGAAAGGCCTTCCCAGGTACTGGTACATGAGTGCATTTGAAAGGGATCAGACCAGTTTCAAGTTAGCAAAATGCAAAGTGTAAGTTGGGGGAAGGGGGTGAGAACGAGGTCAGTGGTGTTTTCACTGTTGGCTATTAAAAGTGGTAATTCTCTATAAAACACATTTTGAGAATTCTCAATTCCAGAAGAGATGATTTTGTAAATTCCTCAGGAAGTATTTCAAATTGTCAACTGCAATTCTTCTTTTTCCGTTTTATTTATAGAAAAGACTGCCTGGAACAGAAGTTGTGGCGCTCATGTAATGAAATACTTTATAACTAGTCATAAATCCACAGTGGCCACACTTATACAGAGGCACTGAGCTCTAGACCTCACTGTGTTTTGCCTGCCCACTGGGATTTCCCTTCCCACTCCTTACCCTATGGCAGTGGTTGTCCCAACATCTCGGGGCGGAAGGTGGTGGTAAGTGGGAGCTACCGACGCAGAGAAGGCAGAGGCCAGGGATGCTGCTAAATATCTGATAATGCGCATGACAGTCCCCGTTCCCACAACAAAAAACTATCTGGCCCAAAATAGTAATCCTGCCTTATAGAGAGTGGCAGGAAGTGTCACATCAGTGTGAACCTGAAGGGGGACTCCATGAAATGACATCACCTTGGGGCTTGGGTGCTAGAGGTTTCTAACAATATGGCAGAACATACTGTTTTGAAGCAAACCTCTTCAAAGGGTGTTTTTGATATACTTCAGTATTTAGTACCAGCTGATTTTTTTCTCAGGTGCCACTTTGTGGTAGTTGGGTAAGGCTGGTAATAGACAGACTTGGAAAGGAAAGATCTAGAGACTTTCACTTCTTTATTATTTAAAAATCCATACTACTTTTAATAATAATAATCCAACTCTCCAAACTTCCCATATATAACTGCGCAAGTGCCGGAGCATCTGCTGAGTCGTAGCGTGGAGGAGCATTAGCAGGCATCAGTGTCCCACCTACAGCATCTATTGGTTGGACCAGATAACCTTTTATGTCCCTCCCACCTCTAAACGTCTGTGCAGTGCTCACGCCAGGATCCATTTGGAGAATCCTCAGTACTGAGCCCTGCCAAGTCTGAAAAGCCACTCAGGACTATTTTACAGACCTCTGCAGAGCAAGGAGGGATCTTTGAAGACATCAAGTTCAACTTCTTTATTTTATAGAAGAAGAAGCGGAGGCCCAGAGAAAACAGGTTTGCCCATGTCACAAGGGCGGTAGAGCCCCTAGAAGGCTTTCGTTCACATCTCCCTATAATTTTGGAGCATTTTGCAGGAGGGTGTGAGTCCAGAAATGCCATCAATTATCTGGGTGTCCAAGAAAAACAGTCTGACTTCAATTCATCAGAAAGACAACAGGCAGGACCTATCACCATAATGCCAATGTTGATGTTCAGTTCTGTAACAGAGCAGAAAGCACACCCACCTTGGAGGAGGTTTCCCTTTGGCCTCACACTGGATTACGATATTCTCTCGAGGGTCAATAATGTAATCTTTTGGAGACTGTTGAGTAATGGTTGGAGGCTGTACCACTTAATTGTAGAAAGAAGAACAGTGTAAAGAAATCACTTAAGATCATAATAAAAGTCATTCTGTGTCAGAATCACTTACCCTAGACTGACCGTGCTCCCAAATGCTTTTAGCCATTTCAATGGTGGCAGCACATACGTTACTAGATTTTTTAACTAAAAGTCTCCTAAACTTTGAAGTCAAAGCACAGCTTCCTTTTGGTAACTTTACAGGGATTCACAGAGCCCATTTCACCCCCACTACAAGTTTGGGAAAATAATTACCAATACAAGCTTAATATTAAGACCATTTCTCTTCTGATGTAACAATGAGAAATTCCTGTGATTTTTTTGGTTCCAATGATGCTTTTCAATAGAATTTAAGTTATGAGGTAAATGGGCATTTCTTAGGAAAGAGTAACTGACTTATAGTTTATTAGTGTGCTAATGTAAATTAATATATGTTGGGAACAAATCAATTTGGGAAGTTAGCGTTGAAAAGATGGGTAAATTAGAGACTTGGCATGTCTTATTAGAGCCAGGAGGTAAGTGGCTATTAGCAGCAAAGATAAAACAGTCTCGTTTAGAAGATCAGTGGAACTGGGAAGTGCTCGGTTACAGGAGACCTTTCCATTTTGCTCTTCAAAGTGCTATCCGATCATTTATTTTCAAATCCTATGGAGAAGAGAACCAAACTCTCCCAGTAGAAGCCACTGCCTTGTATAACTCCAGGGAGAGCCGTTCACACAGACCAGGGTTCTCAACCTAGGGTCCCCTCGGGGGACGTTTGGACATTTCTGGAAGCAATGTTGGTTGTCACCCTTGGGGCGGGAGGTGGTAGCGGCATCTGTCGGGTAGAGGCCAGAGATGCTGCTAAGCATCTTACAGGACAGCCCTCCCCCTCCCCCAACAAAGACTTATCTAGATCATTTAAGCTTTTCCCTTTCTGCCCATGCTCTGTGCTTCGTGAAACCTCCTTCACCTGCCAACCAAGCGTTTCCCAAAGTTTACTCATCGCCCTCTGCTCTTGTCTTTCTTTACTGTGGTTAATCGTTGCCAGGGCTAAATGTATCATTTCCATGTCTGATGGCCTATAAAGTGGCCAACATGATTCTCTTCACTTGTTTGGTCTTCTTGCTGCCCACTACGATGGACACTAAATGCTGGCTCTGACCATCCAAATAACACCTAAAGCCCAGATCAAAAACAGAGCTCGTTCCTGTCATCATTTATTATGCACCTAGTAACTGCTGGATACTCAACAGTACCATTTACCCCCTCCCTTTAGTGAGAGCCACCCCTGTCTCATGCTCCCGCTCGGCCGGCTGCCCTTCCTAGCCTCCACCACCCTACAAAGAACCCTCAGTCTCGAAGCCCTGTCGGTTCCCTGTGCTGGGTAGCACCCGGGCTGGGGGTCGAGAACCCTCCTGATTCTTTCTTACCAGCTGTGAGACTTCCAGCAAGTTTCTTACCTTCTGTAAGCCCCACTTTCCTTGGAGGGAAAATGGGGTTTAAAAGTGGTTATCTACCTTCTAGGGCCACTGGGAGCAGTAAATAAAAGAATCTGTGGAAAATTCTTAGTACGTGCCACTACCATAATGGTTCAGTGTGGGCTCTGTGCAAATCATTGTCATAATCATTTTTATTTGGACCAGCTTCATCTTTGAGTGATCCTTTAGGCTCTGGGAGTATAGAGTTTGGGATGATGGAAAGAAGCCTGGAATTTCACACCCGAACGGTGGATACCCAGGTGGTGGGTGGGGGGACTGTGAGGAATGCCTCAGTCCAATTCCTTATATTTTTCTGCGAGTGACAGAGGTGCAAGGCTGGCGGTTTCAACCCCAGAAATTCTGTTCACATGTCTGCCGCAGAGCTAGTTAGATGCCCTCCTCTAACTGTCAGGAGTCTACTGTCTACGGGCACCACTTTGAACAGTGCTTAGGTCACCTGGCAACTAACAAACGCTTTGAAGAAGTAGGGGGGAAAGGTGATTTTGCATGATTTTCCTGGTTAATCCAATCTCAAAGGATTTTTTCAAATGCCCGAAAACTCTGTTTTTGAGCAGAACTTTCTGCTTAGAGCAAGCCCCTCAGAAACGGTGTAAGTGGGGGCTGCTTAATTGTCTTTTGCTCGCTTCAAAACAATATTCAATTTCACCGGGCCGTTATACTGTTGGGATGCTAGCCTACACGGTCCTGAAGACGTTTGGCGAGGCACAGTCTGGAAGATACCGAAAGACATGCCTTGATGCCAGCAAGCATTTAATGGCATTTAGACCCAGACAGCCATTTTCTTTAAATTTTGTGAATTTTCTCATTGAGTTACATCAGATGCGAATAAAGCTTGCAAGTTAGTCGAGCAGCATACTGGTAAAAGAAAGAGTAATACCTGAGTCTTCAGAATTCATGCAGGGCATATATTAAACTTGCTTTCTTGGTATTTAAATGCAATGTTTAGCCATAGGAAATGCACATGCTCAAAAAGACGTTAGTCACAACTCCTAAAGCTGTGCATTCAATTCACAGTATTAATTCAAAAACAAAGACATGGTCAAGTTTTCACACTGCCTAATAATTACAGAAAGACACTTACAGTCTTCAAGAAGTTTTGCTTTTTCCCCATCAATATCAGCAGGTGAGTGGGCAAACGGGATTAAAGAAAACCAGATGTTAGTAATAAGAACGTTAGCACCCTGGAGATAAAAGGGGCATCTTGTCTATTTGGTTTGACCTAAAAAACCAGTACAGTGAACCGTGGAAGTCGTGAGGTTGTAAAAGAAAGACACTCCCATTATGGCTTTGTTTACTCCTGCAGCAGCCATCCCACATAAACATATGGAAGAACAAAAGGAACGCTTTCGGCAAAAAAGGATTCTTCCAGGACTAGGAATGGCTAATTCCATTCCGTACATGTGCTGGACAAGTCATTATGTTCAATTTGAAAAAGAGCTGAAATCTACAATTAATGTGAGTTGTCACATACTGTGTTGTGTCTGATCCTATTATCCCAGACATCACTAGGCCCATGGTAATCATACCTAACAACTGGACATCACTACAGTGCCAATGCTCCATCTGAGCCAAATGCAATACCAGTGTTGGGTTTTTACATTTCTATGGTTAATCTGCAAGTCAGTAATTGAAGTTTTCAGCTGTTAGCATATTTCTACTTCAGAATTCCTCCTCACGGAGGGTTGCTAGTACCCGCGCCAAGGAGCAGCTCAGATGGACTGGGGTGTAAGGAATAGGGGCGGGGCAGAAATTATATTAGCATGCAATTCAAATGATTCTGCAGTGCTGCCTGTCATTACTACTTGTAAAGGTTAATGCACGAGCGCCTGGGTTGTCCGTGACTTTCTTTTCATCATGGTTATGTCTCTTCTCCATTAGCAGCGATAATTGAGTTAGCTGTAGGTGACAGCTTCCCCCTGATTGTTAGATTGAGCAGTCAGATTAAGGGAGAATATATTTAACACAAGAGAGAACAAAAGCCCATTTCTCTCAAGTGCTTTTGTCTCTCTTCTTTATACTTGGGCATTCCAACTCCAATGGGCTTAACCAATCATACATTTTTTTTTATGGAAATTAGGTCAAAGAATATTTTTTGAAAGGAAGTAAAATGTTGCATTTTATTGTCCTTTAGATGACATAGCAAAGGAAGTCAACCAAGTGTGGGGCAAACCACATCTCTCCTTAATGTCTGCCCACTGGGACTTGCAACCTTCTTTGGCAAAAAGAGACATCCCAACAATTGAATAGCCCCAGGAAAGTGCTATCTTCCTTGCACCTTGGAAAGCTTGCCAAACAGATATTCTATTCAGGAAGCTAATGGATTTAAAGAGGTCAGGCAGATCAAGAATAAAGGATGCATCTGAAGTACTGTCATTGTCCAAATCTGAAATTCTGCTTTCCACTGCAAGAGAAGGGATGAGGTGGAACCCAGCATTATCTTTCTTTTTCACAACCAGGCCACCCAGAGCAGGCAGACTGCAGCGTATACTTTCCTGGTAGGAAAAGGGGTGGGCTCTGATACAGTAGCTGTTGCTGGTTCCATTTTAAATAGTGTTTTTGCCCATGACTTGTTTTCTTCACAAAATTTTACATTTTGGTCTTTGATCACGTTTTTTTTTTTTTTTTTTTTAAACCAAAGATCTTTCTCTAGGCTTTAGGTAAGATACACATCCTAGATCCAGACTCATAATGTAAAGTGAATTTTGCCCTGTTGGAATCGAGAGAAATGAATTATGGGTAGTCTGGGGATACGGGGGAGGGGCGTGGGGTTGGCTGAGAAATCATCCCCCAATCTTTCCAGACCATTCTGAGCACGTGAGGGGGCGGGGGATGGAGTAGTGGGTAGGGGACAAGTGGGGAAGTCTCCATGACCGTTTCAAAGTGATTCGTATAGTTTTCTTGCAGGACCGCTTCTATCAAGAGTCGCCCATTGGGAGGACCAGGGCAGCCCACAATTCGCTCCTTCCCCACCGCTGCCCGGCCCCCATGGTACACAAAAGGCACCTGAGGAGGCAGAAAGATAATGATAGGGAGGGGGCAATGGTCTGACCGGTTCAATGGCCATTTCTGTGGTGAGACTCTTTATAAACACCAGGTGCTGTAGGTAAAAGCCAAATTAATTTTGATTAGCTTTTCAGGATCACACAGACACCTTCTCCATTCACACAGCTCACAGTGATGGGAAATGCTGGGAAGGCTTTGACTCCCGGGCTTAACAGCTTTAAAACGTTAATACTTACGATCAAGAGGTACATCCAGTGCGCTAATCATCTGGCACAGGAAGAGAATCATGGGCGCTCTGCCTGCAGATAAGCGCTTCCTTCTCGGCATTTTTTTAAGCTGCATTAGCTGAGCTCCTGCTGAGACCCACAAACTGAATTTCCTTTTCTTCTTTCACAAAAGATTTGCGTGCAACGTTTAAATAATTTTCATGCAGGGAACTGAAAAAGGAGAGATCAGAATTATGTGTATTAAAAAGAAGGAAATGAGAGGAAGTCCGCTGCCCAGAAAATCAGTTCTGTATTATACATGAACTCTAAAACGGAGCTAACTTTTTAAATATTTAACTCTCAGGACTAGAATAATCATTTATTCATAAATCAGCTAAAATCAGGTCAGAAAGATTTGTAGTGATGTCAAGCAAAATCTGTCCACACTGCCATCCTTACGGTTTTCCCATTTTAAATATCTGCATTTATATCAGAGGCTACCATGTTGTTCCCAATAGAAAAAACTTGGCATATAAATGGGTTAGAAAGTGTGAGTTTAGAGGAAAGGCCTAATGGCTTCTCCGTTCTAGAAATTATCTTTGGGAAAGTCCAGGGCACTGTTGCAAATTTGCTTCAAGCCCCAAACACTGATTTACCAGCCGAACCACCAGCAATTAAGGCCTTTCCCGTCTCTCACTTAGACCAGGGCAGCAGATGTGCTGGGGTGCCCAGTTCCAGGCTTTTCTCACCAGTCACCCTCTGAAACTGTGGGATCTACCAGATAATGTTCAATATAGCCTTAAACAGATAATAGGAAAACCTCAATGATCTGGCCTCAATTTATCCTACCAACCTTATTCCCTCCTGTTTGCATAAAGCTATTTTTTGGTTTGCTGGTCTGTTTCTGTTTCTCTCTCTTGGGTCAGTCCTTCAAAATGCCCTGAATTTTCCCATCTTATTGCTTTTGTCTACTCGATTCCTTTTACCTGGAATGCCCTCCACCATATTTCCTTATCAAAATCCAATTTATTTCTTTATAGATCAGTTAAAACGGAAACATTAGCTGATCCACCAAACTAGAAGGCCTTTCGCCCTCCCCCTAAGAATTCCTGAAATTCCTAGTTTTAATCATGATGTATATTATACAGATAGATACAGAGATAAATAGATTTTTGGGGGAGGGTATGCATGCTCTCTCCCTACTCCTTCAGGCAAAGGTGATGCCTGTCCCACTTCGGCATCCCTCTCTTGTAATACCAACACAGTGTGCCTGGCACATGGAAGTGTCCACCCTACATGGAAGAGCATGAGCACAAAGCACAACGTAGACCTCTGTCCCATGGCCAACTCCTCCCTGGAAGGAAGCGTTTAATCATGTCTTCTCATTTTATGAAGACAGGTGGGGGTGACCAATGGCTCTCTTGAGAGGACAGAGGGATGTTATTATTACAGACTAGGGCAGCTCCCACAGCTTAATTACTGAATGATTTGTGTGATTTTTATTATTTGTGTAATTGTGTATTTTGATACTACCCATCTTTCCCACTAAGTTGAGAGCTTCCTAAGGGTAGGGACTGTGTCTTTACTGTTCCCTAGTGTGTTCCCAGAGGCCACAGCAGTGCCTGGCACATCGCAGGGAGTACATAAATATTTATAGAAAAAAAAGAAGAAAGGGGGAAAGGGAAAAGAAATGGATATTTAAGATTGTTGAAGACGAGGCTATATTCAGATAGGCTATCTGACCACAGTCTATCTAAAGCTGTGTTTATATTTATACTACTGGGTTTGAAAACCAAACCCTTGTCTATATTGTCAAATTAGTTATCCTCTCATGTCTGTGTGTGGAAGAGAGCTTACATGTATAAAAGGAACATGAAACAATGCTGATAACATGTTTTGCTAGCAACTGAGTTCTGATTTGAACCTGGTGGCAAGTGCAGTTGGGATACTTCCTGGTAAACAAATACAAAAACAGGACTTACTAGGCTAAACATAGACATTATATGTACATAAATATTGTTTTCTGAATGAAACATCCATATTCTGTGGTTTAAGATCCGAGAAATTTGTTTTCCATATTACAATATATAAACAATCATGTCCATTAAACTTGGAGAGGCTGATACAGAAGCTCATCTATTTCTTTAAAAAAAAAAAAGAAGATTTTATTTATTTATTTGTCAGAGAGTGGCAGGCAGAGGGAGAAGCAGGCTCCCCACTGAGCAAGAAGCCCCGACACGGGGCTCGATCCCCGGACCCTGAGATCATGACCTGAGCCGAAGGCAGATGCTTAACCAACTGAGCAACCCAGGCATCCCTCATCTAACTATTTCTAGCCAAAATATACACCAGACAGTCTTTCTATGTATGCAAAGCATATCTCTATCATTTAATCAGATTTATTTAGGTCTCTCGTGATTTTTCTGTTGAAATGCGAATTCTGAATTTACCATGAGCTTCAGGGAAAATACAAATAAATGGCACTAAAACAAGTTGATGTTACATACTAGGCATATGGAGAGAGAACTCCAGAATCAAACACAATAAACAAATGGCTCACCTGCCTGATTTCTGTGTCCGGCTAATCAAGTGCATCCCATCTACGTGCCTAGCTCTCCGAAGAGGGGTAGGAGAACTAAAACACTTTCTACTAAAAGATGTACTGATAAATTGCAAAGCCCGTAACATCTTAAGCAGCTACACATGATTTCTAAGTTCTTAACTGATTGTTTACTTTGCCTGCATGCCTTAATCATTCATCCTTCCCAATAGAGAACACTGTTAGTTCCATATAAAAGGAAGTATCATTCCACCTGCTTTACCTTTTCGGACTCTATAGGGAATAAGATAATGCCATTAAATCACAGTGTCGCCTAAAGAAAAAAAAATTCAAATTTCAAGAAAAATTGAGAAGGTACTTACTTAAGGAGACACGAGTAAATCCTCACAATGAGAAGAGGTCATGAACTAGATGTAGTCTTTCTTCAGAAGCCATAAGCTAACTGCACCGATAGCCACAAAATTGTCTCTGGTGTAGGTTCCGTTTGGGGAGGACAGAGCAACTGCCCTGCCTAGCCTCTGACTGCTGCCCATGGAAAATCACCCACTCCTCCTACGTATGTCATCAGAGGTGAAAAACTCAGTGCCTAAGGACAGCATTAGGTCCCCAGCACTCAAAGTGAAAATCAAATATAGCTACAGAAAATTGAGCTCTCTCTGTAAGAGTGATGTGCTCTGCATGTCTCACAAAGAAAAACCACGATTTCCACACTCTCAATATTGATGTCAACGCCCTGCCCAGCGAGGAGCCAATCTGTCTGGTAGTCTGCCTTGCAAAATGTTGGTCATTCTCTCTTACCCGAGAATCATGAGTTAAAACTAAACTGTTTATGCAATTACATTAAATGAATGGAGCCCCAATTTGAAATAGCAGCCTCATGTTTAGTCAGGGCTAAGGAGTACGTTAGTGCCACACAGCTTGAAATTTACAAAAAATCTTTGCATGGACATTTTATTTTTTTTAATTTTTTATTTTTAAAGATTTTATCTATTTATTTGAGAGAGAGGGAGAGCATGAATGGGAGGGGCAGAGGGAGAGTGAGAGAGAGAATCTCAAGCAGATTCCACCCTGAGCAGGGAGCCTGACCCAGGGCTTGATCCCAGGACTCTGAGATCATGACCTGAGTGAAACCAAGGGACAGACACCTGACTGCGTCACCCAGGCACCCCTGCACAGATATTTTAAAGCATGCTCAAACGAGACAAATGGTAGGTCCAAGTTCAGAATATAATTCATCCTGATACTTAAAACCAGATATATTGTTAAAATGACTCCAGAGTATTGATAAACAGAAAGGCCTTTTAATATTTCCCTTCACTGAACTCCACTCAAAGCAGCTCTTCGCAAATTACCTATAGAACCTCTGCAACAGAAGGGAAAGGAACATCTCCCTTCTTCAGTAAACTTTTCATCATTAGAAAAGAAATACAAGTCAAGGTTCCCTTATTTTTTTTTGCCTAAAGTTCATACTAATCATAGAGCCAATGTTCCCCTGCATTATTTACCATATATTTAAAAAGAAAAACCTGAAGTTTTGACAAAGGATTCATATTAAGCCCAAGAAACATAGCTCTCCTGTTGCTCACTTAAGAAGTCTTGTCATTTGAAAGAAGATAAAATCTTTGCTTTTCTCTCAAGTGAAAGATGAAATTCTTTAATTAAGAAAATATATCAGCTCGTTTCCAGAACTGGAAGGCCATGTACTACTCACCATTTCATTCTGGTCTGTTTGTGCTTTTCCACATTCCAACATGGGTGGTTCAATGCTGACTGTAACATGATCTATTCTCCAAGCCAACAAACAAATATGCTTATGTGACTGGATGCTCTTGGGCACACTCATTATTGCTTTGGTGACCCATCAGTGTCTGGCCTCACTAACTGCATGTGACATTATCTTGACTATGAAAGGTGTTCTTTCAGCTGTCAACTTGGGGATGGTTACTTTTTCTATTTTGTTAAATATCTGCCATTAAAATGAGCATATTAATGTCCATTCTAGCTCATGCTTGCACTTTTCAATCAAAGATTTCAGAGTCTGAGACTATGAAAGGAAGGTCAATGAGAAATGGACAATGGCTTTGCATAATTAGCACATCAACGAAGTCACACTTAAATCTACACAACTACATTACCATGAAAACACCTCAGGAAAAGTAGTCTGGGGTTATGTGCCAGACAGAGATTGTAATGGTCTCTTCAAATAACAAGCTAAACTTTGTGAAACACCAAGGAACATGTTTCTAATTTGCCCCTAGCCTAAAGGGATGTCCCATAGTAGAGTTTCAACAAGGCACTTGGTAGCTAGAATCGAGAATAGTACATAAGGAAAGGTGGATAATTAGCAGATGATTTTATTGAAATAATAGATGATAGAACACATCTTGATAACAGTTCAAATCTTCATTCCTCAGAGCACTCTAACTGATTATCTTATTTGATATTCATAAAAACCTCAGTATATAGGATAGCAGGTACTGTGCCCATTTAATAGATGAGATAGGGAAAAAAATCCAATCACAATGGCTACTATTCACTGAGCATCTTCCATGTACCAGGAATGAAACTGAGCTTGCTCCATGCATTCACTTATCTCATCTCACCAATAACCCCAAAAGGTAAATTCTATTACACTTCCCAATTTACTGATAAGGAAGCCGAGATGCAGCAT